GGTACATATCGGAACATGGGGAGGCCAGTCGGAAAGGAGTTTCGCCCTCTCCAAAGCGCGCCATTTGCAACAGAACTATCATGTTGTCGGGCGAGTGCCCTGACAGAATTTGACACCCCTCCAGTGCACTTGATCGCGATAGAACCAGCGTTGGGGTAAGGAACCAGACGGTAGGCTAACTGGGAAATCCTCTTTATCGTTCGTACTCCTTCCAACGCTCGGTCTTCTATTTGTCTTCTTCTCCGTTCGTGTTCCATGGATCCACCGGTGGCACAAGTCTAATCAACGGATTCGCGGGGTGATACACGCAAAATGGGTGTGTTTACGGCGGGTCGACAGTTTCACAAAAAGGAAGCGTACGGGGTCAGCGAGACCGAGAAGGATGGATGATTGATAATCCTTCGCCGCCGCCACTACTCGAAAGAAAGCCGCCCACACAGAGACCTTGGTCAAACGCAAGCTCGACAAACAACGAGGTCTGGGGCTGCAGCACCACCGTAAGGACAGAAAACAACAAGATCATTCACCCAGTCGATCGAGGCACAGACAGGATCAGGTCGAGGTACAGGCACCGCGAGATGAATGCCTGCGGCGGTCAGAAAAATCTTGAGAAACGCTGCACCACCAGTCGCACAATTCACACGCTTGCGAGGCGCAACAATAGCCCGCATGTGGACGACGAAGAAATTAGGAGGGCAAAGAAGAACACGAACGGGTTGACCAAGCAGTAATCAGAAAATAGGAGAGAAAGAAGACACCGGCCCAAAAAAGTGGCCAAGACAAGTCAAGGCTAGAAGACGAACAAGAGTTGCAGCACCCACGAGGGGTTCCGGAAGGTCCAGCGCCGACAACCCTAACCTTCCCGCGAAGGCTATCGTAACAGGAGTGATGGCGAAAACCGCCCCCCAAGTGCTGCGGGGAATGGGACGAGGCTTGTGTTGAACAGCAGTGGCTCTTCAAGAAAACACACACAACACTGAAGCACTGCAACAAACACAGACATCACGAGCCAGATGTAAAAAAAAACGGGGCACAACATCCGTTTGGGACGCTATTCCGGACAAATGGAACGAGATCCGTTCGGGGTGCTATTCCGGGCTCAAGGGTAGAGGCAACAGCAGTACTTGCTCACCGCCCCCTCCACTGCTCCAGCGTAACCCCGGGCACCACGTACGTGCTGTACCTGATGAGGGCGGCCGTGCCGGCGTACTTGGAGTTGGCCAGGCTCATCACCAGACGATAGCCCAGCCGCCGGGCCAGCGCTCTGAGCGTCCTGTCCACCAGAGCGATATCCTTCCTGTCCGCCGCGGTGTCATCCTGGAAGGAAAAATACATACACACACAAACACACACACAAACCAAACATGAAAAACGGCAAATGAGTGAAATGAATCCGAGTCAGAGGGGCTAATAGTAGCACACGATGTGCCCCCCATGTGCGCGGGATGCGAAGTGTGATCTAAATTCCAAGAGGGAATCTTTTCGGCCGGCCGTTGTCGGAGAGGGCTGAGGAATGTTTTGCGCCCCTGCTGCATTGAAATTATGTCGTCGGGCGTTGCCATGGAAAGCCTGCATGTGTTTCACAAGAAAGAGACCCCACCGCAGCTGTTCAAGAGACTGGCAGACGAGGGCTGGGTTCGATCAACTCACTCAACAGATCTTGATGAGTTGTATGTGTCCGGAAGGCAAAATACGCGCCTACATGCACAAAGTCACATACATATCACTCTCACCTTCAGCTGCCATCGTTTCCGCCCGGTGTCGTCCTCCTTCTTAGCCTTGGGCACACCTTTCGCCGGCAGGCGGACCTAAGTCGTAGTCACCCACACGCGGAGATGAAAGGAAGGAAAGAAAAAAATGGCCTAATTGTCGCGAAGAAAGGGGGGATAGACAACCAGGGATTAGCAGTAGTTGTTCGAGTTGTTGTTGTTGTTGTCTTCACATTAAAAACCGTTCCGATCTCTCTCTACCCAGTACCTTCGTATGCCCGTACTGATCCAACACTCGACGCGGTCGATTCCCGTGGTCACAGGTTAACTTACCCTAAAAAGGTACACTCAAATAAACTGGCCCCGAGGGGTCTCCGCACGTCAATAGAAATCAACCACAGATATTCTGGAGTCCTCCACTCCCTCTGCGCGCTATGCGAGGTATCAGCTGAGACTAGGAGTCACTATCACGGGCCGAAGAGAAAGAGGTACACCCCCTTAGTTCAATCTTGGTACTTCACGCGCAACAGTGGGGGTACGCGCAACACAGGCTGCAGCAAGTGCAGAGAAAAAAAATGCGAGAGAAGCAGCACTAAAAGGTCAACTCTTTATTTTCTTCGGTCGCAACGTCTTCATAGATCAAAACGCGAAGAACCATGCCTGCCTGGTTGATGGCACCGATACCGCACGGCCAGAAGTAAATGGGGCACATGAGTACGCACCACGATCTCTATAAAAACGGGGTGCTATGTAGAGGAGAAGATGGAAGACAACACACGAATGGTTCCGACGGGGACAAGTGTGCCGCCAAGATACGATGGGTCCAGAAGACGACCGCTGCACTAACGCATCAAATGGTAAGGAAGCATCTCACACGTGTCGTGATTCCCTCCGTGCCAAACACGGCGTGACCCATCTCGAGAAGGCTGCAATGCTTGAAGGTTGTCTCGGGAAGGAGTACTTGTAGGAGCAGCGTTTCGTCTCAAAAAAGGGTCATCGACCAACGTGGTCAACAAACCAAGGCAAGCAAAAATGATTACGCCCTCACCTCACCAAATTCCTCCGGAAAGACGGCGAGAATGTGTACTGTGGGGGGCATGAGTAATGCCGGTCGGGCGGTACCGAAGCCCGTGAGGCTGATTGGCTTGGGTGGAACTACCAAGCGCTTTGGTCTCCGAATATGCCGTGTGCCGACCAACGTCGGTGAAACTGGCAAACACATAGCGGCACCACATCAGCCCCCCCCGCGTGCGCTCTACAGCATACCACCCCCCCTCCCTCCGGCGACGTCCTCCTAGCTACCCCTTTACCTCCTGGAAGCAGACCAAGTCCGGCTTGTGCTCCTCCAGAAAGCCTTTGATCTCGTTCCAGTTCTTGGCCAGCCGTGGACTAGCTCCGTTTAGGTTGAAGGTCACGATCGTCCTTGGCCCCGTTCCTTGCAGGTCGTCGGGCGAGGCCGCGGAGCCCCCTCCCTCTGCCCCGCCGCTGCTGGATGATGACGCACCTCCGTACTCGGCGATGGTGCGGGGGCGCTTGGTCGGTGCGGACCCCGCCCCGCCTCCCTCGGGGGTCCCCGCGGAATCTTCGTCCCTGCCCGCCGCACGTTTCGAGCCGGGAACGTCCGACATTGTTTCTTGGCGGGGTATGATGTGTACAGGGAAAAAAAGGTATCTACAAGGAACCGCGACTGGCCGTTCGTTGCCGTCGCTGTGCTGCTGCTGCTGCTGCTGCTGCTGCTGCTGCTAGCGGTGGTATGTAGTCCAGAGGTCCAAAGAGGAGCGCTAGGGCGGAGGCTGCCTGTGGGGTTGTTGCAAGCACACAGGAGGCAGGGTGGGCAGAAGGGTGGGGAATGGCAAGATAACGCGCGGTGCAAGCGGCGTGTTGGTTTGGCGGCTGTACAGGGGGTGCATCCCGTGTGCGTGTGTGACAACCAACACAATAAAGGTCTTCCACAATTTGCACGGCGTGCGTCAGCAAATGCATGGTAGGGTAACGCCGGGTCGCGCACGGGCATGCATACAGCGAGCGGATGTGCAGAATCCCCTGTTGCTCCTTGATCTATACAATAGTCTCGAGGCAGCCGAAGCGCGATGATGCTGTGTTCTACTGTGCGGCATAGAGCGGGTCATGAGTCGATCCGGTAGGAAAGACATGGGGATTACGGTGTTCTGGGAGACTCTACATTCGTCTCCCGCACCCTATCACGTCCCCACGTTCGAAGCGTAGGACACGCGGCGAGAGGTCAGAGGGAGAAAGACCATGAAACTACAGCAGTATGCTATAATACATGTACACATGTGCACCGAAGAATACGTGCCATCCTTCAGGCAGGCATCCGTGTATCCATATAGCTGCATGTATCCACAGGGACGGAAGCGGTGACAATGGTCTGCAGTTGGAAAATAGAAGCTGTATGGACAAGCCATCGATTGATTGCGTCTTTCAACAGCAGTGATACCGCAACATGCTATCATGGAAGACGTCCTCCTCGTATGCATGCCATGTAGAACCCCAAGTTCGCGCAACCTACTGCGGCATGTAGGAGCCCGCGCAAACTGATCACCGATACCCAAGCACCCATTTTCCAAACGGGTCACATCTGTCTCCCTATCCATATACACCCTTTCACGCCCGATTCGACCCACGATTAAAATCAATGCGCGTCGTTCGCCTTCTGTACGACTCAACCAAGCCTAAAATACATACTCGCAGATGCAACAAGGAAACATGCCCAGGATGCCAGGACAAGCAGACAGATGTGGGCGGGACATCTCAGACTGCTGTCATGAGCGAATTTGCAAATTTGCAAATTTGCACAATTCAAAATCCTACATGGCATGAACATCTTCAAAGTCTGTGGATGCAAGAATGCATACTTTCCTCAACTGATTTGGGCAGATTGTACACACGCCAGACACGAGCGGAAAAGGGGGGGGAAGGTGGCGCCAAAGCGTGGTAACGGCTGACGGTGGTGGCTTCTTGGCTCCTGCGGGCTCCGCGGAATCGAGGGGCTACGTGGAATCGAAGGAGTTGCACTGGCATGTTTGATTCGGGGGCGTTCGGCACGTTGTTTTCTCTCTCCTCCCGCTTGCTTACCGCGTCGGCCACGGCTGCACAGCAGCGTACCGCTCGTGACACCAGGCGAGAACGGGCGCGTGGACGCTCGGGCAAACGGAGAGCATCCAAACAAGTGAGAAACGTACGCGTCGAACGAAAAACCTTCCTGACAAGTACTACAATCCGTCAAGCGTCGCCCCAACCCATCTCTCGACGTGGCCGTGGCCAAACACTCTCCGGTAACTCAAGGATATGGTAGCTCCGTATACACCCATACACGCGGTGAGTAGCTGCGTCAAGGCACCCCTATTTGACAGCCCACCGCTGGATGGGTTGCGCTATCCTTACCGACGGGGCAACACTTCCTTTCGACCAAGCTTGGAAATTTCCACCCGCGGGTACATCAAGGTGCATCGTGCACGAGAATTCACTCAACCCCTGTGCCCGTCGTTCTTGAATCTGCTCCCCATGTGTACCCTTGCGAAAAGTCGACTTTGAGCAACCACAGCACCAGTAGGGGATGGGAGAACCAGGAGACGGGCCCAAACGTCAGCCTTGCCGCATCCTCATCCTTGGCGACGGAAATTTTTCTTTCTCGCTGGCTCTCGCGAAGGCTCTACTTCTTCCTCCAACACCCCACCTGCTGCCGTCGTCACCACAAGCACGGCTGCAGCAGCAAACCTTCGAAATCGTGGCCACGTCCTTCGACGGGCGTCTCGACCTCCTGAGCAAGTATGCGGAGGCCCCCGGCATCGTCGCCGCCCTGCGCTCTGTGGGGGTGACGGTGCTTCACAACGTCGACGCGACGGCGCTAGACTCAAGGGTGCTGCAAGTCTCTCCCTCCGACAGACGCCGTGCGCAGCAGCAACAGCAGCAGTTCGAGCACGTTATTTTCAACCACCCGCACACCGGCACAGAGGACATGCGCCGCCACCGCTCATTTCTGGGACACTTTTTTCACGCCGTGGCAAATTCTGCCATCGGCAGCACCGGTCCGGTCGGTGGCGGTGGAAGTGGGGCTTGCGGCGTCAGCGATATCGGTGGTGGCGGCGCTGTTGCTGCGGTTCCAGGGATGGCAGATAGACAAGGCGGCAAGGGGGCGATCCTCGCCCCCGGCGGGGCCGTCCATGTTACCCTCGCTCTTGATCAGCCGGAACGCTGGGGCCTTGAGGAGCAGGCCGCCCGGCACGGCTTCTCCCTGGTGCACCGGCGACGGTTTCCGGCGGAGAAGATCGACGGTTACATGACCAAGCGGCACCAGACCGGCCGTTCGTTCCGGCAAAGGGTTCAAGCCAGCGAGACTCTGTCGTTCTCCTGGGCGGCGAGCGCTCAAGCCGCGCGGGGCGACGATGGGGCCGCGTTTGGCAGCACTCTGCCGCCGTGGCTTTGGCCCGAAGTCGTCATGTGCGGCGACGAGGCGTCGCCCGCTCGAGCAGAAACGGCCACCGACGAGCCCGTTAGGGCTGGCGGCAGCGACGCCGTTGACGCACCAACGCCAGCGGTAGATGATAATGTGCGCACGCGCGGCGGTGGCCGCAAAGGGGGCGGTTGTACCGACAGGACAGGGGCGGCGGCAGCGGAAGCCCTTCTCCCCGAGGTCTGCGAGCTGTGCGGCAAGCGGTACAAGTCGGCGCAGGCGCTGCGGACGCACACGCGGCAGTTCCACGAGCTCGGGCAGGAGGGGGGCGTCGCCGTGGCCCCGAAGAAGGAGGAGCGATGCCCGCACCCGAACTGCGGCCGCGTGTTCACCAGCGACAGGGCACTGGACCAGCACGTGTCGGCCAAGCACAGCGGGGACAACGTCGACATCAAGCCGGACTGGTTCGTGGGGAGCATTTATCACCTCGAGCCGCCGCCACCCCCGCCGGTGCCAACGGACGGGGACATGGTCGTAGAGAGAGGGCAAGACGGGGGAATACCCGCCGCAAATGCGGCTGGTTCTGACCAAATATGTAGAGGCACCGCAGAGGGGGCGGAGGCTACGACGACGCCGAAAGTTGTCGAAACGCCACCAGAGATGTTGGGGGTCCCGGCGAGGGAGGTTCCAGCGACTACCGTTTGCACGAACATCGAGGGTAACAGTCTGTGCCAGCGGTGTGACGTGTGCGGGTACTGGTTCACCTCTCCGGAGGACCTGCAGCAGCACCTAGATAATCTTCGGCCACCGATCGAGGGCGCGGTGACGCGGTACGATTGCGGCACGTGCGTGAAGGACTTCGGGTCAAGGAGAGCGCTGCTTCAGCATGCCAAGTTTTGTTCCGGCGGTAGGGGTGCCGCAGACCGCGTTGCCATGGCGTAGTAGTGCCCGGGCCGGCTTCAGGACTTGGCTGTGTGCGTTACGCCTGGGCCCAAGAGATTGATCAATGGAGCATTCGCAGAACGTCGTAAGTCGTTCTATCTAGATGCACCCAGCATGGGATTCGGGTGTTGCCATCGTTTACTTTTGACACGTTCAGGGTTTGGAAGAAACTCCTCTCGCTGTCATCGCCTGGAGCGTAGGGCGACAGGGCCGATTGTTATGCGCGAACTACTGCTGTAGTCACATGTCGCGTTGAAAAGTCACTGGGTGGAACGGCGGCTCGCTCCTACAACAGGTCGAATGCCGGTCCATCGTTCCCACTACATTCTGTCTCCGCAAATGTAGCCCATCCAATCCCTTGAAAGCACGTCGCACGCCTCATGGTGGGTCGTGTGGCAAGGGGTCTATCTTCCTGAAAAATGAAGTCTTGCGCACGTCGTCGACATCAGTACTTGGGGATTTGGCAAGTGTATGCAGCTTCTACGACTGACACGAGCGTCCGAGTGGCACGGGATTTGGGTGCCACTTCAACGTTGATCTGAACGGAGGAGCATGGAACTTGTCCCCATTCGTTTACACCGTGTGAGACGAGCCTTGAACAGGCAGCAGCACGCCGGACCGACAAAGCGCCTCCCCCACTCAGATTTTCGCTTCGCTTGCACGATGAATACGCTCAGATCTCGTGACAACCACCTCCCCCTGCACTTTCGTGAGACCCTTGCACGTCATTGAAAAGGCGGACCTTGTCACCCCGATTTTCTGCAGTATGTAGATGGCGAACGAGGAATGCTGGGATCCCTACCCGACCCACCTCTTCTCTGTTTCACCTTACACCAACCACCAAAAACGTTCGATACCAGGGATAAATAAACGTCAGCAAATACACACGATTTCAAATTCAAGTACACTCTCGTATGCACAGCTCAGCACCTGCGTCATGCGTAGCCGCAGTCTCCATTTCTGCTGACTGGCATTTTCCCGCAAAAAAAACAGGTGGGAAAACTCGGAACAGATCCAGACCACAAAACACGCTCTCGATCGAGTGAAGAAGAACCACGATTATTTCATGTCCAACCAATCAGAACCCGCAAGAACCAATCAGAACCGGGAGTTAGTTTCCGTCGTCTCAATCCTGATACCCGATGTACACCAACACCTCACCGTCTCAAAACGAAGCATGTCCGTCCGAGTCACGCCGCGACAAAAACGCGCACAGGGGAAATACAACAATTTTACCGCATGCACGCGGCGAGAGAGTCCCACAGCAACCATAATAGCTAGCTCCAGGCAACCCGATGTTTGTGGAATTGCACGATGCGCGCCTCCGGCTTCCCGCGGGAGCTCACCACCACACCCTCTCAACAGAGAAGTGCACTGATCGCCGAAAAACATGCACTGCGGCAAGACCGTCCCTCTCAGCCTTTTCGAATCGTAACCGTAGTGACCGGTTCCTATGTGCGTAGAGTCGACGTACGATTCAGAACCTCGATGCCGCGCGAAGCACAGCTCAAAGCCTCACGAGTTTCCTGCTTGGCACAAAGGAGAGTGTCGTGCGGCAGGAAACGGTAGACAGAAGACGCGGGGAGAATCCGGTCAAGATTTTTTGCAGCAAGTACAAGAGCCCGGTCACTGCCTACGGAGAAACAAAAATAGTAACCATAGCGGAGAGCTAGTCGCTGGCGCTGGTCAAGAACTAAGGAAAGGTTGGCCAGCAAACAAGATGCATACACACAGGCCGCGCGAAAAGCAAACCGGCTAGAGCTCGGCAGACAAGGACAAGAAGTGGGTGCGAAATAACCTTTCCCTAGACGAACACGAGACCCTGCCCCCATGGCATGGCAGTGCCAAGCAACAGAGACAGGCTCTCATCAGGATCGACCAGGATTCCTATCTGCGCGACAGCTCGGACGCCGCAGGGGGGGTCGCGCAGCACTCGGAAGCAGCCGACCATTCGCATGGCAGCGTGCCAAGACACTGCCGTCAACAGCCGAAGTTGCAGGGCTCCACGCCAGAGCCCCGAGCACAAACAAGAAACAAAACGAGGCACGCGCACCTTGCGAGTTCGCTGTGGGGTTACCGGCCCCACCCCCGTCAGTCAGCGCTCGTACCTCGTTGGTCCACCGCTGCGCTAGCAGCAGCCGCCGCAGCCGCCGCCGCTCTAAACCTCCCTACTCGCCTGCCCCCGCCCCCTCCGCTGCTGTTACTCTCCTTCTTCTCCTGCTTTTCCCACACCCTTGTCGAGGCGGCCTGGACGGCATCGCTAATCCCCAGGGCGGCGGCCTGCTGCAACAAGCCGGCGCCGGCCTCCGAGAATAAATCGTCGGGAGGGAGTGGGCTGCCGTTCCGCTTGTCGACGAGAGCGAGAGCATCGCGCCAAGCGGTTGCCCCCTCCCGCTCGCACTGTTGGGGTGAATCGAATCAGCCAATGAGAACGTGTGGAAATGAATCGTTCGGCGGGGTTAGCTACAACGGCGGGCACGCGCGAGAGAAAAAGGTATGCAGGCGGGTGGAAAAAAAACAACGCGGTCAGAAGCTGGACATCGCTCTTACAATGGCCAGTATGAGAACGGTTTCGGGACGTCATGACCCCATAATCTCGTCGCGCATTTTCTGCATTGTAATTCATCCATGAACGCCATCAATTCGGCTCGATCTGCTTGTGGTTTCTCGGCAAGGCCGGGGATTGTACGGCGGATGGCGGCGGCTGAGAAGAAACACAGAAAAATCGCAAAAAACAAAATATAAAACAACAGCAGTTAGCTCCAACCCGGGGGCAGCAAACGAAGCAGGACCAACAAGGTTCAAAGCAGACCACCACGGCACCACGACCAGCTACAGCAGTACAGCAGCGAAAAAAACAAAAAAAAACTCCTGTTGCAACGTAAGGGCCAACTGAACTCGACGCTGCTGCCGTGCCTCACCGCTTCCATAGCAGCCCAGTACGGCCCTGGTCCCGGCCACGCCACGTCGTTCAGGCCCTTCGGTGAGAGACGTGCGCCAAGCTGCAGCAGCCGGACGGCGAGGGCGCCCCTTCTCTGCTCCTTGCAGATGCCGAGAACTCGGTTCGACATGTCTCTTCGCAGCTTCTTCGTGCTGGGGTCGCTCCACGCCTGCAGGCAAGACCACAAAAAGAAAGTCAGGAAAGGTCAAGCAACGCCCACGCTGAAGCACCGAGAAGACACGCGCCATTGCACGTCTGCACTACTGTTCCGATGGTATGCATGCCATAGCTGTCATCCCGTGCACAGGACGCGCAGGGGGCCGATACGAACCGGTTGAGATAGTGATTCGAACAAGGTGGTGATGGTCACCGTGTAAACACTTCACGGGTTGTGGCCACTCCCCAAGCGCACGAAGAAGAGCACGCCCAAGACAGCAGAGGCTGCGAGGTACGGCTTTCGACACAAAAACGGCGGAATACGAAAAAGCTCTTGACACCTCACCAGTGTCCACAACCTCAACACTTCGTCTTCTCGCTCTGCCCTTAGCAGCGCGCAGATGACTATCGCGTACGTGACTCCATTCATTGGCACCTCCCTTGTCCACATCTCCTCAAACAACGACAACGCTCTGTCGGCTTTCGCCGCTGCCGTCGTATCTCGTCTTAGCCCCGCCGGCTCGTCCCGTCCCCCGTCCTCCCCTCTCCCTCTCGCATGAGAAAGGCCGTTCAATTCCCCTTCGCCTCCACTACCATCGGCCTCTTCGGGTAGTCTCCCACCCGACAGCGCCGGACTGCTATCCCGCAAGCGTACGCGGGCGGAGTAGCCCCCTTCGGAGGCGGGACAGATCGACTCCAAAACCGCGTTGTACACGGACGCCGTTGGAACCAGCCGCCCTTCCAGCATCATCCCCAGGATGCTGATCGCGGCATCGGGTTTCCCGAGAGCGCAGCAGGCGTTCACCGCCGCCGTGTAACCGTTGCGGGAAACGGGGACGCCCGCGCGGTCCAGGCGATCGACCCATGCGATGGCGGCGGCGTGATCCCCCGCCTTGTAGGCCGCCAGAACCACAGCCGCGGTGGAGTCCTGGAGGCAATCAGGATTACCAAAGGGACAAACAAAGAAGCAAAACCAACAGCGGCGGTGCGGCTTAAATGGGTGAGCGGTAAGAAGGGGGTGGACCGGGGTGGGGGGCAGATACTTGGTTCATCTACCGCAAGGGAGAGCACGAGAAGGCACCATAACGCTGAGACACATGGCACTAATCGGACAGCGTGTTGACCACAGTTCGTACGGTCATGCCTGCGTCTGCACAACAACTGTATGCAAATCCGCACACCCGGCAAATCTGGGAGGTCCGCCTGAAGCAAAAGTTAAGTCATTGCGGTATTCCGCTTTCTTTCATCCGTCCATCTTTTTTTGAGGGGTGTCTCGGCTACGCCTACCGTAACTGTCGGTTTAACTGTCGGTTGCCTTCATAGATCGTTCCCATTCTGAAAACTGTTTTCTCACAGGGTGAAACGATACGTGTTGCCAAGACTCCGATCCGAGTGCGACAATCGAATAGATTCATCTGGTCCTTGCACACACACGCAGCAGTCCGCAGCGGGGATCCGAAACACGCATTTTCTCACTCGTCAACGCCCCCCCCCCCAAAACAGAACGAAAACCAAAACGTTAAAATAACCCTGCAAGTACAAGACTCGCGCCGTACCTTGTCTACCATGACCCCTGCCTCTGGCATCGCCTGCATCACCGCACCGGCCTCTTCGTGCAGACCCTCGCTAGCCAAACCGGCCAGCAAGCACCTCCACGCTGAACCATCCAACACGTCCGCAGCTACCACGCGCGAGCCTCCTCTGGAGGCGCGTTGGGCCTTCTTCATCACAGACAACGCCTGCAAATTTTGGGGAACCAGCAGGGCGACAGGGGTTAGAAGGACGACCACAACTCACACCGCAGTGAGAGGGGAGCGGCATATGTGTATGCAAGACTTGTGGTGAACGGCGCCGTCGTGAAAAAATACGTTGTCGCTATCGGGAATTCGCATGGCTGCTTTGACATTTTTTGTGTCGATACAGCGCCTCATAAGTTCGTTACTCGTCCCACTGGTGATCTGTATGTCCCCCCGCATCGTATGCATACCACTGAGCGTAGCAGCCACAGGCGAAGAACCGGGTGCGTGCATCGCAGAAACATGAGCATTACACCGTGTGTGTGTGTGCGTGGTTCAGCTTCATTGGCCACCCTTCGTGCCACTTGCCAACTGAACGAAGAGCCCCCCATGCACACCCAACACAACAAGTGCGTCAAGAGTGGAGTCACGTCACGGCATACATAGACAAGGAGAGTCACAACCACTCACCGATCTCCAGTGCGTCTCTAGGCCGAGCTTGGCGTAAGCCTTCATCGCTAACCCCGCCGTCGCATTGTCGACGACGTTCAAATCTACCAGCATCGACTTCGCCAGGGCCACGACGCCAGCCCATCGTTCGCCGTTGGAGAGGGCAGACAGTAGCGCCTCTCGCTGCGACAAACAAAAACAGTCACGCATCGCCGGCGCGCCGGTGCGCGGTGACGTAAGCAACAAAAAATAGTGGCGACAAAGACCCGATCAAGGAGCAGCGGTGCGGTCTGGGGGTCAGTGCTCAGCCATTGATCACGTGACGTCGTGAACGCCCCCGTCAACTCCCTTAGCCTCGCCGAGTAATATCCCACCCACGCTAGACTAACCCAGTAGCCTTGGCGAGTATATTCAAGTTGGGATTTAGTAGGGACCACGGGTTTGGGTTGGGGGTTACAGTAGGTATTACGAACCCCCCCCTCTCTATTTCGCATGAACCGAGTAATACCCTCACGAAAGGCGGTCCCGTTTACCAGGAGAAATCAGCACCGTTACATACAGCCCCATCCCGACCCAAAAAACACCCCACCTGGTGCCTGGAAACCTTGAGGCCAGCCAGCCCGATTGCCTCAACGAACGCCGTCGCCTCCTCCCACAACCCGTCCCTCGCCAACCCAAACACGACCATGTCCAGGCAGGCCTCGGAGGGCACCTCCTTGGCAGCCACCGCCCACCGCAAGACGTCGACCGTCTCCCACTGCCCGCTCTCTTCTTCCTCCCCTCCTTCCCCCCCGAACGGCCCACCCGCCGGATAAGCCGACGCTCGTGGCACCGCCGCCGCCGCCGCCGCTGCCGCCGCCGCTGCCGCTGCAGCTGGCGGCGACGGAGCCCCCGCTGATCCCAGCGGGGCCGGCGGGGGCAACCGCGCGCTCGCGAGCAGCAGGAGAGTGCCGTACGTCACGACGTCGCCGTCCACCCCCCACTCCACCGTCGCCTTCACCACGAGCTCCCGCGCACGGTGGTAGTTGTCCGGCCCCATGGCCGACAGCACCGCGTTCACGGAGGTCCGGAGACCCCGGTTCGCGGTGACGCCGAGTTCGTTGAGGCGGTCGAGGAGGGCGAGGGCTCGGCGCCAGTCTCCCAGCCGGCGGAGGACGTCTATGACGGCGGTGAGGGTGTAACCGTCCGCGCCGATCGTGCGGTCGAGGTCTTCGAAGGTGTCCAGCGCCTTGTTTTCGCAGCGGGTTTTGAATATTGTTGTACCGTATGTGGGGCGGCGAGCACGGGATGGACAAGGGGTGAAGTTGGGTATCTTCTGTCGTCAAGCATTCGTGGAGCAGGTTGGGTCGTCTACCTAAAATATGACATCTTACGGCTGCGGACGGGCAAGTATGTCAGAGTGAGCCCACCGAGTCAGCGGTCGGGCGGGACAGACAACAACAGGGAGGAGCCGGCAGCACATTGACAGGGTGTACACCAGCAGCGCTACTCGCAATAGCGGACGACGCTGGCACCAGCGTGGAAAGAAACCAACAGGAGGCCGTAACCATGCTTCAAGGTGGTCGTGCGCGAGGGACGCGGAACGTACCCGACGTCGCGGTAAGACACGTACCTGCCGATAGTGGTCGGGTCCAGCCCTCCCGCACGCTACGATGATCTTGTTCATCAGCACACGCCGACGCGTGACCTCCTCCCAAGGTGGTCGCAATGCGTCTGACGCGAACGATACCGCCGCCGCGTACTGAGAGAGGACAAATGGGCAAGCGCAGGCGGTGCGGCACAGAGAGAGGGGGGGCAGGGAGACGGGACGAAATGAACGCCGCACGTTGGTCTTCTTGCGGTTTGACAAAAAGTAGCGACAACCGCTGGCACCAAAGATCTCGTGGAGCGCGCGCTACTGTAGAGCACTGTGGTCAAGCAAAACATGAAACGAAAAAAGCACTGGCATCGGCAAAATGAAGCAGAACATGGCTATCTCGCGGTCGATGCACAGAAGAAGGTCGAGACATGCACCGTACCACAAAACCACATCCCATCAACACCGTAATGAGATACCAGGTACGGAGTATGCAACTGGTGCCAAAAGCTAACAGGAAACAACTTGTGCAGGCACCTCTTGCTCAGCATAGCACGCGAGGAACACCGCCGTTGCCGTCGCGGCAGACGGGCCGGGCTTGACGGCCTCTATCTCTCGATACAGTACCACAGCTTGCCTCCAATCACCGGCCTTCTGCGCCGCACGAATGACCACCGCGTACAACCTGTTGCCACCCCAAGACACAGCGGGCAATGGTTTGGTGTCAGGGCGATTTCGGCCCGCCGTACAGCGTAAACCGAACAGCAGCAAAAATATGCACGCACGTGGAATATAACTGGGAGAGAGATGCTCCTATCACAGCAAGGCATACGTCAGGTTCAAGGCAGGCGGTGAATGTGTCATGAAGGCGTACGTGGAAGTCCGCATGGAGGCAACTCAAGAGCCGACCGACGACTGCACAAAAATAAACACCACGCCGCGAGCGGCCGACAACATTCATGCCACATGCCACCCACGCGTTCATTGTCGAGTCAGCGGCCGTCGTCCCGGGCGTGTAGCTACAACGAATGCCAACGCCGCTGCTGCGGAACACCCGGAGGGCGGTGTTGGCGTCGCCCGCTTGAAGAAGCCCTCGTACAACAAGCAGCACGCTCTCCTGCAAAACCGAGGGTTGTTGTCAGCCGACACAACAGACCAAAATCAGGGTTTAAATACACTGCCGCCTGGGATTGGCTTCAGTTGTGAGCATCCTGGGCGGGGAAGCCAGCAGACTCCCCTGGCCTTCAGCAGAGGCAAGGGAGAACAACACCATTCTTGTAAGCAATGCCGCTTCATGACCGTTCTTTACCAGCACGAAACAAGCGCGAAACAAGAGTTCATCAACATCCAACTTGGGCGGCAAAGAGGCCGCCAAGTTAACGCAGCCAGACTACATAGACTACCCACACGACGAGCAGCGGCGAAACTGCAAGTATGAGCTTTGCATGTAGCCGCGAACGCCGAAAAACACACCGCATCTGCCTGCACACAAATCACGCAACACAAAACAGCAGCAAGTTGGGCAGTTGAACGCATAGACCAATGACAGGCGTTGTACTATACTGGGGGATACGAAGGATCCAGATCAGGTCGCACTATTGTAATGACCTCCATCCCGCTTACAAGTAGCCGTAGCAGTCTAACGAATGATCGGCGTGCATGTGTCTGCCGCACAGCAAGTATCCCGTATGATAGCTCACCGGGGTAGGTTTCAGCCCTTGCTGAACCATCAACGCGTGAACGCGCAGCGCTTGACGCGGCTCTCGGGCAAAGTCACAAGCCGCAATAGCCGCGACGTACTCCTGCTTCTGCCTGCTGGGCCCGGGGATGGACCTCAACACCTCGAGGGCCTCTCTCCACTTCCCCTTCTTGCCGAGCCGTCTCATCTCCTGCGCCTTCGCCTGCTGCTCCTGCTGCTCCTGCTGCTGCTGCTGCTGCTGCTGCTGCTGCTGCTGCGAGGTGAATGGCCCCCACTGCTTCTCCTGGGATATGTCCTTTTCTTTGTTCTGCTTCTCCTCCCGTCGCTGCGGAGGGCCCCTTGCTCGCCTCCTTCCCTGCGCTTCGCTTGCACCGCTGGTATTGATGTTGTTCGCCCCGCTTGATCGCGCCGCCTCCAAAGGCGTAGCAGCAGAGTTGGTGCTAACACCACCGCCGTTCAACTGGCCTGTAGACGGTGCCGACGGTAACAAAGGCGGCAGCGGCCTGGGCAGGGCGGCGGCGTCTTCTCCTTCCGGAAACGGTGACGACCCAGCAGCAGCAGCAGCAGCCGTGTTCATGCTGCCGCCGCTGTTGCTGCCGCTATCGCTTGCTGCGACCGAAGACATCAACACGCGAGGCCTCCTGTTGCCCCTTCTGGGGCACCCGCCGCTGCTGTGCCGCGAGAACGTGGCGTCAAACCGGTGCCGTGAGCAATCATCGAGGCCGTTCTGCTGCTGCTGTCGCTGGGGCTGAATGAACGGTCCAACCGGGTGCCTCCAACCCTCGACAACCACGTGCCCTCCTCCCCAGGCGCTGCCCCTCCGAGGCCTCAGGAGAGCGCATAAGCCCAGCGTCATGCTCGACTGCTGCATCCTGCGGCTTTCCCTGCCTCTGCGGCAAGGCGCGGCGGCGCGGTCGCTGGTAACCGCCATCCCAATCTTGACCGCTGCCTTGGTTTCGGTTGCTGTGGCAGGTGAGCACGCGAGGCCATGTTGGGAAGACCTCATGCACGTCAAATGAAATGTTGAATCTCTCCTCCGCGAAAGGTCGCGCGTCGAGGAGGGGTGCGTTTTTGTCGGGGGGGGGTAGCGTATCCTTTGCGGGGACCCCTCAACTGCCCTCGGCCGCCAAGAAATGCGGTTTGTTTGCAGTTTTTGCCACGCATCACATTTCAGCAGCCTTGCTCTCTCTACAGGAGGGGAACACTGCAGTGGTCGCTTGGGTCACGTCTCAGCGCATCACCCGGGGGATTTTCAGCCCAATTCAGCGTGGCACCAAAAGGCGACCGAGAGATGTGCGGCTTCAAGTGTGTCGGCCAGGTGACGATGTGACGATCCATTTCTCGTCGCGAACGATTGTTGTTGCAATTGTACCGGAAGTTCAGCAGCATCATGGTGTTGCTCCCGCTGCTACTGCTGCGGCTGTACAGCGCCGTCAAGGGAACACAGCATGCCATTCCTGTCGTATTCGTAGGCAGGATGGATTAGAAGTCGTTTTGTGCTGAGATTGGTGAGGGTGTCCAGAGTCTAAGAGTGTAGAACGGCGTTTACCAAGACCATAAAACTCAAGTACAAACAATACCTCCCCCAAGAAGAGGGATGTAGGAAGAGGTTGGTATCAGTATCAAGCTCCCTTGCACACAAAGCAGCAGTGGAACAAGCCCGCGCAAAGCGATAAATGCGGTTGATGCTCATGTGCTTGTCCAGTGCCTGCTTGATTCTGACGGCTGCCCTCGAAAAGGTACACGCGAGGCGGGCGTAAATCATGCCCGCTTTGAAAGAGAGGATCGGGATCATGTTTGCCTGTCCACTTGTACTTGTATGCATACGTCGTGTACCGGCACCTGGTGTGCGTCCCGTACGTACACAGCAGTACTTTTGGTTCACAATCCAACACCAACACCGCCAACACCCACCTTGTTCCCCGTAGATAAGTACACGAATATTGTACCTGACCACAGGACGCGTCCCCACTGCAAGCACAACAAGCAGCAGTGACAATGTAGCAGCAGTGACAATGTACATATTATTGTATGTAAACCAGTAACAACACCTTTTGCAAAGTGCTGTTTACTCGCTTGCAAAGAGCCAAGAGGAGCAAGCCCCAAAACAGCAGTCCCAAGCCGGATGCTGACAAAACTACACTTACTACTGCTGTGAGACGGAGAACCACACCATGCCGCCATGTCGGTGCATGTTGTTTTAGTTAGCCGGCCTCCTGTTGTTGGTCTCAGGGGTCTGTCTCATTCTTCACCGCCGCGGTTGTTTGATGGTAAAACAGTACCGTTTTGCCGACCTCCCCCTTTTGGAGCTGTAATCGCACGTCATACGTCATGAGATACTGCTGTATGTACCTGCATGGACGAACAACCAGCAGACAGCAGCCTCTTCGTTCATCTACAACAAATACGTAGTCTCGAAAGTCTACCAGAGGGTACCCACAGGTAAATATATACACCCAACCGTACGCTTCAAATGACCAGCGCATGGTATTTTGAAGACAGCTTCTCTCTACTTTATACTTTATACTCCGTGACGAACCGTTTGTCAACCCGTGTTCTAGCAACCCTCCAATAAAGTGTGTTGTTGTTGTTGTCTTCACGTTTGTACAGAATAGCTTGACAAAGTTCGAAAACCGCGCTTCTTTGTACAGGGTTTCTGGCCGGCCCGTGAGATGAGCTCTCAATGCCTTCGCATGCTGGCTGCTGCAATACCTGCCTTCATCAACCACAGGCAGTTTGTGCTTTCACGTCCTGGAACAAGATTTTAGTGTATATAATACAACAGTAGTACTCGTTGCGATATCTGGTACGACGAAGTATGCGTACAATATGTCTTCAACGAACTACCGCCACTGCTGTTAGTTTCAATACTGCACATCAACTAATGAATTTTTCGGCATATGTATCTGTGCCATGGGTGTTTTTTATGTGTGAGCGTTCCAATATAGATACACACTGCTGTTAGACTGCTGTAATTCGGTGCTGTCTTTGGTGCCGCCCGAACAGGAGGTATCGGGACCTACACCACGCCCACGCCCTATTCTGCGTGAACGTTACGCAGCAGAAGCAGCTCCATCTCTCATTAACCCCTTTGGGTCTAGCCTGGACTGTCAGTTTTTTTTTTTGCGCCAAAAAAAAAATGAGAGCGAGAGCGAGCGGGAGAGAGAGAAGTGCAGAGAAAGACACCAGTGTACTTCTGCACACGCAACAGCTATCTCCACCTGTAGGCCATGAGAGAAGCCGGCGACAGGGTGGTGGCCACAGACAGGGTCGTAGAAGGGTTGGTGGGTGGTCGCGCTGCGGTCAGTAGGGCAGGTTAGCTGTGTAGCCTTTGAAATGGTCAGTCGTCTCGCTGCCTCAACTAGTCTATTTTCGGTATATTGTAAATGATCAGTCCAGAGAGGGCAAAATGATCAGTGAAGACCCATAGCTGGTATTTGTACTTCTGTACTTCTCTGTTCTCTGTCCCCCCCCGAAATGTGCCCTGCCAACTCTCTAGAGCTCCTGTGTTTTTCAAACAACAAGCACATCCACCAGCACACACCTGTACCTCGTGGTTTCCTAGGTTCGGGCGAGGGTGGTATGTGTGGCGCTACAAGTGTGGATGTTTTGCTGATATGTTTTACTCGTCTACAGCAGTAGTAGTAGTGTTGTTGTAGCGTTCGTTGTAGCTGTTGACACAATGACTGCTGGATCTTGGGAACGATTTTCAAATTGTTGGGAACCACGATATCCTCGATATCTGGGCTTCGGCAGGGACTGCAATACCCCTCCCTTTTGCTGTCCTCTGCTCTTTGCAGCAGTGGCTTCCTACGTTCGGGCGAGTGTATGTGTGGTGCTGCGAAAGAACACATATGTATGTATGTATGTACTGTATGCACACACGCGTTCATTGACATGTGCATACGTTGAGAGATTCATGATTTGGCATTGATTGGCCCCATTCCCATTCCCGAGACCTTGATTTTACCCGCTGTCACTGAAGTCTCTTCATTGGTCAGCCGGTTAGCGCGGGTGCTAATAATCTAGACACACCTACCTATGGACTTGCCAATACACGGCGCGAAGGGCTGCAGGGCGGCAACTCCACGACTTGCCACTACACCAGCATTTGCAAATGATCAATCAATGATCAGTGAGAACGCCTGAAGACTCAAAAGGGTTAATCCCGGTACGGTCGCTTCCGGTCACCTACAGTACTTGTGATACGCTAACGAATACCAACCTCCCCCCCCCCCCCTATTGTCGTTTTGCCGAACGACTGTTGTATGGCGGCCACAACAACAACAATGCTGCAACACACAGTGCTGTGGACTGCTGTCCTTGTTCGGGATTTTCTTTTTGTTTAGCGTGGGGCACATGTTCCCCTCGCAGCCGATGTTCACGGACGTGGAGGTATGGGAGGAACACCACGACCACGACGCCTCCGTCAACTGTTACATAGGCGGGGTTATCTACATCTGCACGTTAGCGGTGAGTTGCAGCAACGGTCAGGCCGCGTCCTTGGACGGTCTTGTCGTGAGACAGGGACGGGGAACCTGTGGTTTCTTCCTCCGTAGTTTGGTACTTTTTTCGCCTGCGTGCACACCGCACCTCAAGACGAAGCTGCTCGCTGTTGGTAGCCCCGTCTTGAATCGTCTGTTCGTCGCTGTCATCCTTGGCCACGGACGTATGTAACTGTCGAATTTCTCGATGATACAGCCAATGCGCAGCAAGAACGCGTCGACCCCCCCTTTGTCCTCATTGCAAAATTGGGGCGCGCGAGAGAGAGAGGTGGTGAGCGGGGCGCATCTGTACGTTTCGTCGCTGATTGCGGTGTCTTGATTTGGGCGTTCCGTTTTGGCGTCACCCCTGGGTGATGCGTTTTGTACCTTCTGCTTTTCGCTCCTGCATGTGTGCATTGAACCTCTCCTCTCCAAAGCAATGTCAGCTGCTGCGGGAAGGGAAGAAGGAGCCTTTCCCAAACAATCCTGGTGTACCCGGTCGCTTCTCTTCTTCCGATTTGAGCGAGATTTTTCACGCAAGCGTTGCGTGCGAACGGCTGCTCGTCCCGGGTTCTCCAAATCACACGCTGGTCGACTTTAGACGCATTTGGTCGTGCGGGCCGCGAGACCTTCACCACGCTGCTGCTTTCTTCGTGGGTCTGAACCCGACAGTTTTGTTTCTTCTTCCCCCCTTGTCCGTCCGTACGCTGCTTCATCATCTCGGTGCCAGGCATCTGTCGGGTGCTTTTGTTTCGATAAGAAGCGGTCTGCGCGGCCCCCGACGATCGCACACCAGGCATCAACAACATCCTTCTTGGACTACACCCCAGAGAATGTCCCCAGTCCAGGAGAAGACGAAGGAGCCGCGATTCTGCCGAGGGTGGCGCTCTGACAGAGCGGGGGAGGGAGAGAGCCGATAGGAGGAAGGATGTAGCGTGTCCGCGCTAGCATGTGGACGGAGAGGAAGAGCAGGGGATGTTGTGAGGCGGCGTTTGCGCGGCCGGCTCTCATCGTCATGTGCAGGGGGGAAAGTACGCCTGGAGTTTGTTAGGGACTAGCTCCGGGCGTTTGGCGTTAAAGCGACGGCGGCAGCAGCAGCAGGCACGTCAGGCGGGTTCGGCACACGGAACACGTGTTCTTTTGGTTTGTGCTTCCTAGTCAAGGCGGCGAGGATGGGACCCGCCGGCCCGGAGCCTACATGGTCGTGAAGGGGAGCTGTGCACTCGTCGGCGTATCTTTGCTTGCAAGGTAGAGCCAATGAGAGGGAAAGGGCCTGTTTCTATGTGTATGCCACAAAGTGTTCGAAAGTACGAGCTTCTTGTTTGATTGGGGGGGGGGGGGAGGTGACTGTTTTCCGTGAGTCAGGTGCCGCTCTTATATAGGGCAAACATGGGAAAGCCCGCTGGCCTAACGCCTGGGGGCGGAAGCCATTCCTACGTAGCCCGTTTTTGCCTTTTTGTCAAAAGTCGGAGTAGTTAGTACCACACGAAGTGGCCGGGTCGCCTCAGTCTTCCGTATCCGAAGGTGTTGCGAGAAAGTAGGCTGGAGATGTTTGCTTGCTTGCTTTTCCCTCCGTTGGTGTCAGACACCCACGCCTGCGAAGGTAGAAAACCAGACAGGAGCTTCATTGGTGTTGTTTGGTTGGCGTTTTTCTCTTTACTGCTGTTGCCGGAATGCATGCTAGTTGCCACATGCGTGTTTTTTATCGGATATTGCTTCAGGACCTCCTGTCTGGAGATGGATAGGGCCAAGTGGGCCTCTTTCTTCTTTCGGCCTCTACCACCCACGACGCAATCCGTACTGCGTGTGTCGTGAGTTGTCGTGGTTAACGTCTCTCGTTCGTGAGTGGCACCCTCGCTCACGCACACGACAACGCGGTGCAAATAGTTAGGGCTTAGCTGAACGGGACGTGTAGTGTTTGGTTTCGATCTTTCGCTTCGTTTTCTGGGCAGAGGTGGCGAAAGAACTTTTAGTTGTGTATGTGTGGTTTGACCGAAAGTATGTTCCTTCCACGCGTCTGTAGTACTACAATAGTAGCTGTTTGGATGGGCTAGAAGGCGATTTGTAAGAAATGTGTTGTTGTACAGCCTTTTTTTGCTCATGTTTACTCGGTCGGGAAGCTTTGGAGCTGTTTTTGGGGAGGGGGGGGGGGGAGACTGCATATATATATTTCGTAGTAAGGGGCCTGTTGAGTGGTGCTGGCGAAGTGCTGGATGCCCGCTACAGCAGTGCCAGTGAAACGTTGTGTGACGCATGTGGAGCAAGCAGTTTGTGCTGCTCGGATATCAAACTGCCGGGTGCCTGCTACATGTGGTGCCGGTGAAAGTTTGCTACACGTATATAGCGAGCACGTAGAACGTGGCGGCACTACTGAGGGCCACGCGCTGCGGTAGTTATATGTTGAGAAGTTGCTTTTGGGAACGGAAGGTATCGTTCCTTCCCAAGGTTTTTGCGACCCCAAATAACGTATTTTTTGCATATGCATACAAGTACTTACAATCGAGCCAGAAGACCTTCCCCACCAAAAACGATGCAGGGCCAGAGAAGAAATGTCGAAAAGTTGCTGTCAATACGATGATGAGAACGATGGAGTTTAGAGCAAGGAGGATGATGGTGAAAGCACTCCAAAACGAAGTCGAGTGCAAGGTAGCAGCCTTCTTCATAGACGTGTGCAGTGTCCTCTGTTGTTGCTACCGTTGCTGTCTTCGATCCGGAGAATACATCATTAGTCTCCCCCATGCCGCCCCCTCACGGGGTCCCAGTAGTTGACATTTAGAAGTGTTTTGTGTTTTCAACCACGCTGAGACTGACGTCTTTTCATTGGTCGGCCGGTTAGCGCGGTCGATGCTAATAATGAAAACACACGCACAATTTGGGGTTGGCTGTATATAATGTTGGGGCTCGACACGCTCTCTCTCTCTCTCTCTCTCTTTCTTTCTGTTGACCGCAGCAATGTTTTTCCCTCCCTCGAGATACGTGAAAGGATGGCGGGTTTTGTTGGGGCAATTAGAGCTTAGGGTCACACCCGCTTGGCGAGGGTACTGCTGTAAAGGAAAGATGGTCCCTCTCAGAGACAAGGAGGAGGTCTATTCTCTGGACCAAGAGACCCAGAGGAGAGGCATGCATTGTACAAGTGTCCTATGTCTTGTGTTCGTTACATGTAGGAGGGCCAACGGACTATTTAGCGTCCTCGGTCATAGCAGGTTGGCCTCACCCAACGACCATGGTGAAGGTGTAGGTGCCTCAGTCATACACTGCTTACTTGGCGAGTACAGCTGGAGCGCGTGCAGGGGAGGAGGGGAGGCCGGCAGCAGCAGCGGAGGTCGCGTCAGATCTACCATTACTGTAGCGATCTCCCAATACTCTCGTACCACATGCGGCATCTCCGGAGATTTGAGAATTTCAAATTGAATTTTGTTTCAACAGGAGCACCGACAAGCGAGGCATTGGAGAGGGCCACGCGTGTATCTGCCAACCCCCTCCCCTCTTTGTGTACCTCAACGCACAGCTAAGAGCATTTATATTGTTTTCTGGGGGGCGATAGCGAATAAGGGGGGGGGCTTGCGCTGTCCAACTTCCTCAGCGATTGGAACGCGGGTGAAAGAATCATGTGCGCAGTCCATTTTTCGGCAGTTTGGAAGTTTGATGGCAGTTCGAGAGGCACCGGCCTCGCCCCGAGTCTTACACAATCGATCACAATCTGACAATCACCACCACGTGAAATATGCCGTCTAGTAGAAATGGGAAAGGGTTGGCGGTGGCGGCGCTTCTGGCGCCCGTGGGCCAGGGTTTCTCGTTCGCTGGTACATCCATAGGTGAGAGGGAGCGACGCTCTAGCAGCGAGCAGAGGCCATATATCCCAAACCTGGTGACTGCAGTTGATAGACTGTGTAAAGTGCGGACAATACGTACGTGTTTGCATGATCCCAATAGCTATCAATGCTTGATTCGGCTGCCCTGTAATCTCCTTTGTTCGCTTCCGCTTGTTGTACACCCCGCACGGCCCTGTCCTGTGCTTCGCCTGGCGGTACTCATATCTGTGTCGTCGTCTTTGAACCATCACCCATGCATAATCGTACGTACAAACTCCTCTCCTCTGTTTTGCATCGGGGCAGCACAACGTCAGCATCGTTCTTACCGGTCGAGGCCAGTCCGCATGACAGCGGAGGGGGTAGCTGTGGACGGATCGAAAGTGGCGGTGGGCCGCCCGAAGCTGCAGCTGTCCACCGAGTTGTTGCCAGAAGAGGCTCTGGAGAGGTCAAAAGTGGGGAACCCATTCGAGAAGAAGAAGTGCGAAAAGCCCGGCGACATCATGTTTACGGAGGTAAGAGGAAGAGAGACCGCCGTGGTAGGCCACGCCGTCTCGGCTGCTGTCTATGGCCCTCTAGGGGCTTCACGACTGCTGTCTATGTCCAAAGCTTGGCGCCAACACAGTATGCTTCTCGGGAGAACTACAGCACCTGAACGAGCCATCACATTCTGGGAGTCACCAAGGCTAATACGAGTGTTTTTCGCCTCGCGCGACAAGATGATGACGCAACACACGTCATGCCAAGTTCATAAAATATGCCTATTATACCTGCTGCTGCTACCAAAAGTCGGTGTTCCTGCGCGACCCACGTCAAGTCACGGAGACACAACTCAGTCCTTTGGTTACAAGGGTTCTTGGATCTGCATCAACGCGCTATGTTCGTTACGTGTCTGCGCCCAACATGTATGTTCAGTGGTAGTAGTGAGTAGTTTACATTCGAGTTTTGTCGCCAGAAAGAAGGCAGGGTTCTGAAGGTTCAGGACGACTCTGACATTGATCCATTCTAGTATGCATTCCAAGAAAGAAAGGAGAGGAGAGGATACCTAGCAGGTGTCTATCCCTCAACCCTCTTCTCTGTAAGCACGTCAACATCATGACGACATCACGTCGAACTGGGGTTTATCTCGGACCTTGCAGTCTGTCTCTGTTTGGTTTAAACAAATGCTCTCGACAAAGAACATGCGTACATCATGTACACACCCACATTAAGAAACATGACAGCAACTCGAGGAGGGAATCAGGGCGTGGAAGAGAGCAAGAGCTTCGAGCCAGATGGCCTTTCCCACGACAAACGACGCAGGGCCAGAGAAGAACTGCCGAAAAAATGCTGTTAAAATGATGATGACAATTATGGTAGTGAAAACAAGGAGGAGGATGGTGAAAGCACTCCAAAACGAACTCGAGTGCAAGGTACTAAATGCATAGCAGCCTTGGTACCGCGTGCAGTTTTCTTCTGTTGCTACTGTTTCTGTTTTTCATCCGGAGAATAGCTTAGCCTCCCGCATGCCGCCTCCTCACGGGGTCCCAGTTAGTGGCATTTAGCAGCGGTTTGTGTTTTCAACCATGAGACTGACGTTGTTTCATTGGTCAGCCGGTTATGGTCGATGCTAATAATAAAGACACACCCACATTACGTACATGTTCCTAGTGCGAGTGATAGCTTGAACGCCACGCCCTGTAGTACCAGTAGACTGCCTGCTTTGCGGTGTCGCACGCACGCCGAATAGTTCGTTTCGATTTTTGAACATCGAGGGTATTCTTGTACAAGGAATCGCAAAGACACACGCTGGTTGCGTCACGCACGGCGTCATTGCTACGTACATGGTGACTCAATAGTGTACAGCAGCAAATGTTGTCAACAGGGGAGAGACGAATATGTCTTGTTTTTGAAGTGAGTACAACAGCTATAGCTTCAACATGTAATTTCAAACCCAGCTGTATGAATGTTGAGCGCGCCCGGCGAAAGGTAGAGAAGACAGCCCGCGATATTGAGCGTGAGGAGGTGCAGCAGCAGGCGGTGTTCCTCTGCGGTATCGGTGTCCAGCGCAGACGCTGCCTTGCGCGTCCGCTGCTGCCCCTCCTCATGTTCAATGTCGCGGGCTGTCTCCTCCGCCTTTTGCCAGGGTGAGCTAAGTGTGACCTTTTCCCGAGTTTATCCGCCGACTTCGCCGTCCCTGGCTCCTTTGTTCCTCTTCCTTGGTCTTGTTTTTATGATTGAAGGGTGCGGGTGAGGGTTTTGAGTTGTCGCATCTTCGATCCATCGCCTAAATCTCTTGGTTGACTAGAAATCCCTCTGAGGTTTGCATCTATATCTGCATCTACGACAACTCAGGGTGGGGTAGTGTTACGGTACTGGGACGTGTCGCCATATGATGGTGCGCTACCATGGTTGTTTCGCGTTATCAGATGTTGCGCTACGACGCCATACAAGAATCCGGCTTTATACCGCCGAGTCATGCACCCCCCTCAGTGTTGCGATTGGCCGTTGCCGTGTGCTGGGCTTGGTTTGAGTTGGATTCCGCCTGCATGGTGTGCAGCATGCAAGGCGATAGGAGAGCATAATCATGGAGAGGACAAAGTGAATAAGAAAAAAATGCATCAGCTGTGGTCGGACAAGTTCCACACAGCTTCGAGGTGATAATAAGGGAGAGGAACAGTCCACTTTTACATCAACGAGTGTGTCGTGTTCACCGTACCGTATCGTACCGTTCCGCGTTGGGATTCCGCAACCCTCCTGGCCGCAACCGTAGAGAGATCCGTTCAAACCGGAAGTGCTAGCATCGTGCCACATGCAGACGTCCCCCGAAAAGGTCTTCAGGTGCCCCGCGGATTAGATGATATGACAACACACACTGCAACCCGAACATTCAAGACTTCCCCGACAACGAACCGCCCTCCCTTATCCAAACCGACGACATCCGTTGCCCCAGGTACACGAGCTCGCCGCTGCGATCCGATCCGGCGAGTACACGTGGGAGGAGCTGAGCGTTGACGACGCCGACATCCGGCTCAAGTGGGCGGGGATGTTCCACCGCAGAAAGAGAAACCCGGGCACCTTCATGATGCGCGTAAAGGTGGGGGCGAGGGCGATGATTGCTACCGAACGTAGAGTACAACAGCAGCATGCCGTTTTTTCCTGTGTTGGATGAGGGGTAGGCTAGTTTTTTTTTTTTCTTGTTTTGTGTGCCAGCACGTTTTTTGCCTGTTAATAGTGGCAAAGGAGTGCGGACGAGAGCTCTGTCATCATCGCTCTCGCGTTGTAGCTTGTGGATGCTGACCCTGTTTTTTTTGTTGTTCTCTTCTGCGCTTGGTGCTACCGAAACGGGTACAGTACGGAGCTTATTGCTTGCATGCACGTGCTTGGCTTTCTTGAGAGAAAAAAGCCGTCGTGGGCCATCCGAGGCTCTTCGTGCAACTCGCGGTTCGGTGTCCTGTGATGTGCCGTTGGACTTGCTCTTCGGCGCCCCAAGCCGAGCCGATCCCAGCCGCTGGGATAAATGGGAAAAACGAATCCCCCCCCCCCCAAGAAAGCGCGCGATCCAGACCCAAGCCAAGCCCAACATAACCAAACCCCTCTGAAAGCGAACTCACGGCTTGTCGGTAGTATAGGTAGCGGTGTTGAAGATCCTCATTTTTTTTACAACGAAAAAGAGAGTAGTTAGCCGCATGCTTGCCCCCTTATTGCAATGCCGAATCATTGAGTCGCCAAGCCCTTCTCCTAAACACATGCAACTCAACATAACCCCATACAACCATGCCTAACGATTGATTGATCCAAACGTCAATCCATGCCCCTCCCTCCCTAACTAGCCCTAAGCAACACCGGGAACAATGTGTAGATTGATCCATACCTTTCCGGTCGACGGGTGACTGGCGGCAGATCCCGAACGGCATCATGACCACGGAGCAGCTGAGGTTCTGCGCCGACGCCGTGGGCAAGTACGACCCCTCGGTCGGCGTGCTGGACATCACCACTAGAATGGCGCTGCAGCTGCGAGGCGTCACGCTGGAAGACGCGTCCGGGGTGATCGACAACCTCTACGACCTCGGCCTCACCTCCCTCATGACGTGAGTTTGGCTCACCGTCGTCGTCGTCACAACGTGGTTCTTGTGCGACCTAGCGAAAAAGCGGGCACCGGAACGACCTAACGACCCGTGCAAGCAAGGACAGGACCAGATCATTGTTTTTTGTGCGCGCCTCCTTTCCCCCCGTTCGTCGCGTCTTTTGGCGTTACGTTTCCTTGGAGGCAGGACTAATATTCGTCGACGGTTGCTCGAATTTTTATTCAGCTTGTTGTCTCGCGGGGTGTATGGTTGTTGCAGAGGGCCGCCGGGTAGGGTAGCGTGTTTCGACAGGCACCAGCACCACACGATTTGGTGGCGTAGCGTTCGGGTGGAAGTGCTTTCTCTCTGTGTGGGGGTGGTGGTCCGTTCGTACGTGCCTCCTACCGCAGTGTTATACTTCTTGAGGACTGCCGCTTGTCCGGACAGCGGGTTTTTGGTGTTTTGCACACCCCTCGTGAGTATTACGTGGCTCGACCCCCCCCCCCCCCTCTAATCCTCCGTGCGTTCGATAGTGCGCCAGAAGAAACCCCACACGATGCATCAATAACTGTTTTGCGACCGAATAAGGCCAACCAACACGATATGGCCCTTGTTGTCTTGCATGCGACCATTCCGCCTCTGCTGGATACATATGTCGCTCGACCACTGCTGTTGCATCGCGGTACGCGTTACGTATGTGCCCACAAGCCAAAACCGCTGCCTCCGTCTCTTATTCGCCCCTTCCATGTACCAACTTTCGCCACGTGGACACATCGACGACAACAACAACAACCGCAGCGGGATGGACAACGTGCGCAACATGGTGGGCAGCCCCATCGCCGGCCTGGACCCGCTGGAGATGGTCGACACGCGGCAGCTCTGTAACGAAATCAACGACATGATCACCGACAACCGCAAGGGCAACCCCGCCCTCACTAACCTCCCGCGCAAGATCAACATCGCCATCTCCGGCGGCCGCGACGACTACGCGCACACCATGATCAATGACATCGGGCTGCAGCCCCACGCGCACCCTGAAACCGGCGAGGTGAGAGTACGGCTACATATGCCAGCACAGCAGAAGGGTGCGGCGTCAAAGACGCCATTGCACATAGCTCGGCTGACTCTATGCCTGCAGCATGCCAGCACAGTTGTTGATGATTTTTTTTCACGTTTTTGTCGTGTTCATTGTGTGACGTTTGGGGCGAGAGGTGCTTAGACATTGGAACCACGCGGCGAGATACGGGGCGGGGGTCTGGAGTGAGGGAAGTTGTTTGCTTGATTTTTTGGGCGTGACGGACGGCGACTAGGAAGAGAAAAAAGTGAGCAAGAAGCGGTGAGTGGGGCGGCGGCGGGGCGTTGGATCTGCGCCGGCACACTTGTTTCTTGTCTTGAGAACCTCTCGTGGTGGTCCAAGAAGCGTTTATTGCGTATGCACGCACACATACCGCGTGCTTGTAAACGGAAGGTACATTCACAATTGCTAGCGTGTGTTCTGTTGCTCTGTTCGCTCGTGTACGCCTCGATAGTGTCCCGCCCCTTCTCCGTGTGCCTGACCCCCCCCCCCCCCTACATCGCTTCCTGTGATTATGGCTTTCGGCTTGGGTACATACACATACGGTAGATCGGCTTCAACGTGGTGGTAGGGGGCTTCTTCTCTGTGAGACGGGCGGCGGAGAGCATCCCCCTCGACATGTGGATCAAGCAGAACGACACCGTCGCCTTCTGCAAGGGCATGTGAGCTTTTTTGGTGTTTGAGTCGAGGTCCACCGCTGGCCCGTGCTTTGGTGCTCCGAAGGAAATGATGTTGCCATTGCCAGACAGCCCTTCGGCACTGTTGAAAGGTTTTGTTTTTTCTCTTAATGACACGACAACATACGAGGAGACCAGCACATCAGCATACGAAACTGCTGTAGGCCAAGGGAAGCCAAAGGCACACATCACGGCAGGTGTCGGAAGCGATTTTTTGAGTCGGAGACCTGCTGCTACCAGCGTAAGCGAGGAAAGAACGTGCGTACTAACGCACAGCTGCCGCAGCAGCAACTACATGTAGCTGCTACAAGCTATTTACATGTAGCTGGTTATGAGAGCTGGTCACACCAAACAGCGCTCTACTTCATCGCCGGGATGCTACACGGCAAACATCTGACTGACTGGTGGTGTCGGGAGAGGTGTGAGGGTGTGGAGTAGCAGTGGTGGCCTCTGTGATGGCGTAGGCATCATGTCTATCTACGCTTGCTTTGATCTCTCTCTCCGCCCCTTCTTTTCGCGCTTCGCACGCAATAATACCTATTTGTTTGACACCTATGATATGATACGTGTTGGAGGTGAGCCTTTTTTGTAGCAGATGCCACATTTTTGTTTGTTTGTTTTTGGTGTTGTCTACAGCTCATCTTGCTGCAGCTAGAAAGGAGCAGGAGCAGTGGAACCCTTTGTTTTTTTCCAGCCTGAGGCATGCAGCATGCAACATGTTATGTATGCCGAAGGATGCCCTTCCTTCCAGTCACACCTTCGTGTGTCCGCTGGAGCCACAAAAAGTAGCTCCGAAACAGCACACAACCCTGACGCTCTTAAATGTTTTGGCGAGATCGAAACAAGAAACAAACACCCCACTTGCACACCGCTACCGAGATTCGTCGTTAGGCCTATTGCTGTTTCCCGACGCTCCGCGAAACCACCCCTTCGTCGCCCCCCCCCCGTTGTCCCATAAACCCAATCCGTGACACCCCCCAGGCTGTTGGCCTTCCGCAACCTGGGATCGCGCAAGAAGCGCCAGGAGGCTCGCCTGATGTTCATGATCGAGGAGATGGGCATGGAGAAGTTCCGCGAGACCGTCGTGGAGTACGTCAAGGGCGTGGACTCGGCGTTCGAGCCCCAGCCTGCGGCTCCCGCCCCGGAGGAGGCGTTCTCTAGGAGAAACTACGTCGGGGTGCACCCCCAGAAGCAGGAGGGGAAGTCGTGGGTGTGCGTCACCACGCCCGCCGGTCGCTTGATGGCGGAAGATGTGAGTTGAAACCGGGGGGGCGGGGGGCGGGGGGCGGGGGGCGTACTCCTGTTTTGGCATGCCTCAGTTGCTAGACCATTGATGACGCATCCTCGAGAGGACGGAGCCAGGACCGATCACCGATGGCCAATCGTTCCTACTTACTTTGCCAGAGATGACTTTTAAAAATGGAGGGGGGTCGGGGGGTAACGGGGAACCGCGGGCTTGCGTGGCATGTCATGAAAATTCTTCCAATGGAGCGACGAGCCATACTCTGTTGGGGGGGGTTACATGCATTTGGAGTGCTGCAGTGAGATGCGGGTCGTTTGTGGTTTTGTGCCAGCGCTTCGTATATGAGGAGCGCGCCTAGTACCCTTATGCCTACAACTACAGCATCTGACAGCCCACCATTGCTTTGGTAGCCTGCACCCGCATGCTATATCTCGCACACCTGGTGAGACCAATCCATTGGGATACGCGCAAAGGCACTTAGAGAGCTTCCGGTGGCTTTGAATGCGACTAAACAGCAAAAGTATCAAACATGACCACCGCCACTACAGCAAACATAACCACCGCCACTACAGCAACAACGTTAGCAACAGCGTCAGCAACAACGTTAGCAACAGCGTTAGCAACAGCGTCAGCAACAACGTCAGCAACAGCGTTAGCAACAGCGTTTGCAACAGCGTTAGCAACAACGTCAGCAACAGCGTCAGCAACAACAGAACCAAGCTGAAGCTACCTCGGGCCAGGCCAGGCGAGGGTAAGGCTAAGCTAGGCTGCTACGCTTGGAGGGAAGCTACATAGCCCCAAGCAGCCCCGTAGAACTACCTACACCATGAAAATTTCGTGCAATGAGCAAATGCATGTTCTTCTTTGGTACACGCACTACCGTAAGAGTCGGAGAGTTGGCACCGGGTGCGATCGTTTTTTTAAATGTTTTTTCCTCGTGATTTTTATCGCACCCCGGTGCCATCTCTCCGACCCCGGTGCGGAAATGCAATCAAATTATTTCGTTTAGAATCCCGGTGCGATCTCTCCGACCGGTGCGATCCCCGATGAAATGCACACAGGTGTTGTATGCACGCACGCCGGTGCCATCTCCCCGACCGTTGCCATAGTATTGATGTACCAGTGTCGAGCCTCAATTTCTTATTTTCGCCCGAAGAACCAGCCGAAGTCGGCCAATTTCTAAAAACGGATTTCTTAATTCCTTGGGGCTGTCGCATCATCCTGCTGCTCTTATTTTTTCATTTTTGGGGAAGAAACCAACGGCACACCAAGCCTTTTCATGCAGCATTATAAATCGACCGGTTGGTGGTGGCGAACATTGATTGGGGTTGTCACCCTCCTCCTGAACTTCCTGACTCCCGTGATTTGTGGCAGTACAGCAGTACAACAGCAGGGGGTACCGCAGCCCGCGGCGGCGCGGGCGGCCGGGGGGCGACCCGAAAATAACCACTCTCCCCCCCTACAAAACAATTACTACATGATGAGCTTATGATAGCATAGGTAGTGGTGGGAGCTGGCAGCACCGTGGGAGGTTTCTTATTGGACACGCTTCCTCAGCTATCCGTTGTTTCTTTTTCTCGGGGTATCGCACGATCATGTTTCTTATTGGGACGTTTCTTATGTCTTGGCCGAGATTGAGGTGAGTTTCTTAGCCCCTTTTTTTCTTATTTTTCGCAAACACTTGAGCTTTTTTTTCTTGAGATAATTTTTCTTAATTGCGGGCCCGTTCTGTATCTGAGTCGGAAAAAAGGCGGCGAAATACGCATACAACATTCCCCGAAAAAAGCGGCGAAACAGCGCATCTGAGGTGGTACCAGTAGACACGGTATCAATTGGTTCCCGTTTTCGTTTCGGTCTTCTACCAGTACGTACGCAGAAGTACAATAGCTTCGGGTTGTGTAAGGTGGGGTAGGGTGCGGCTGGTACGTTGTGTGTTTGGTTGAGTGTACGGTTGGCAACTTGCATACCAATAAAAATATGAAAACAACTGGCATCCCGCGTGAACCGCGACCATCCAATCGTACGTAAAGGAGTGTGGCGCTCCGCTGACTCCGTCCCCACGTGTAAAAGGTACGCTCATGTACCTCATTCCGTCAGCTGAAAAAGAATTCCATCTTGGATTTGGGGGTCGGAGAGAACGCACCGGGTGCGATCTCACCGACCCCGGTGCGTAAATCGAATTAAATGTTTTGTTCTCGGGTTTTTTGTCGCATCCCGGTGCTACCTCTCCGACCGGTGCCATCTCTCCGGTCGGTGCCAACTCTCCGACTCTGACGGTACTTCATGGTTCGTCAAGTTGCCTCGTGACCCCCCCCCTCTCCCACCGCGACGCCCCCCGTTGCTGCTGCCTACATCGATCGACCCCACCCCCCCCCGCCGCCCCCCGCCCAGGCGCGTATGGCGGCCGACGTAGCGGATGAGTACTGCGACGGGGAGATTCGGCTCACGGTGGACGAGAAGCTCCTGTTCCCTAACGTGGACACGGACAAGTTGCCGGAGATGACCAAGATGCCGTTTTTCGAGAAGTTCCCGGTGGTGAGTCAGCTACGTTACGGGATACGACACAAAGCACACCGGAAGGATAGCACCCCCCACATACCACACCCAATGGTATTGATTTTACTGGTCAACACGAACCCAAGCGCGATTGAAAGTACTCTCAGAAATGTTTGAACGACGTAGATACGGCATTGTTACACACTAATGTACCAAAGGGAATATGTTTGAGAGGCCGAAATGTTGGCAGCATCGCTGGTAGTATGTTTTCTTGCGTCATTCCACACCTTCGTGTTCCTCTGCGAGTAAGTCTCCTTTTATTTGGTTTTCAACGCTTTTTGCTTTCTGGTTCCCTTTTGCACCTCGAACACACTATTTCGTCCCTCTTCAACCTCTCTTGTTCCTGCGTCGGTGCTGATACCTGCTGTTGAACGCCTTGAGACTGATGTGTAGCAGAAATGGAAGTATGGTGTTCTCGCGCCTATTTTTCTTTGTTTTTGTTTCCCCATTCGCGTTCAACTGCGGTCCATGTAGTCGACCCTGGCCTGCAGCTACCAGCTACGACCCCATAGGCCCGAAGCAGCCAATGCTGTGCCGTTGTTCGCCTCTTCAATCTCCTTGTTGCGTAGACAACACTTGTATTGCGAAAAACGAAAATGCGGACACTTCGGCGAGTACCGTGGGAATAAATATTACATCGGGTGCGTCGCGTCGCGGGGTTTATGACCTATATCGAGATAGACACCCATCAACTCAACCTCCGCCACTGATCCCTCCGAGAAATTCACTTACAACCACGAACAATCACACACGTACAAGCAATACTCACAAACATCTCCTCCGAGGCCCTCCGTCCCGAGGTGTATGCAGGGTTGAATGTAGAACGCTATGCAAGGTCGCTTTCTTTTTCTTTCTCCGGCTTCAAAGTAGGACTGACGTGTTATCATTGGTCAGCCGGGAACATCCCCGGTTTTCTCTGCTACAATTCAAAGAACAAACAACGCAAAATATGCACACCTCGCCGCCGCCTGTCCTCGATGCCCATCACCCCGGCCCCTCCACAGGACAAGAAGCCGACGATCACGTCTGGCGTGGTGTCATGCACGGGGTCCCAGTACTGCGGCCTGGGCCTGGTAGAGACCAAGAACAGAGCGGTGGACTATGCGGGCAAGCTGGATGCGATGCTGGACTTCCCCGAGGGAACCAAGCCGCCCCGTATCCACTGGACGGGATGCCCCAACAGCTGTGGCCAGGCGCAGGTATGATGGAGGGGTGGGGGGGGGGGGGGGGTCCGTGGATTAGGGAGAATTGGTGATGAAACGATGATGCCGACTTTTTGTTCACGAGCCCAACGAGAGGGAGGGACGGGACAGATCCGTCTCTCGTTTTGTGTGTGTTGAAGCAGACAACACGATGATGCTGTAACGAAAGTCCGACCGGCCAAATAATTTGAGGAGAATTTTCCTCCGTTCGGGACACCCTTTATGCAACAGCGTTGTTCTTCTCAGTAAGCTGATGTTTGAAACAGCAAGACGTTTTTGATTACGGCATCGAGCCACGCCAATACCTGCTTTGTGTTGGTGAAGCAACAAGGGCGGCCGTGGTGGTGTGTGGTGGTGTGTGGTGGTGTGCCTCTCAGTGCACGCTTGTCCGCGGGCCGTTCCGTCCTGAGTGCGGAACCACCTGCCCACAACAGTCTTGTAGTTGACGAACACAGAGAAACTTGCTTCACCCCTCCCCCCTATAGCCAGGTGAGAAAATTGTAATGCGGCCGCCGCCTGAACAGGTCACTCGCCTTCGTGTCAACGCATAGCGTAGCACCAGATCAAGCGAAGACGTGCTGTTCCCCCCCCCAAAATCAGACCTTCCTCCAAAGCAAGAGGTCAGACATTTGCTGGTACCACAAGTTTAACTCCAAGATCACGTTTGTTTGCGTGTGCATGTACGTTTTCGCTTTCTCCTCTCTCTTGGAAGGTGGGCGACATCGGCCTGATGGGTGGGCCGGCCAGGGTGAACAAGAAGGCGGTCGAGGGCGTGAACGTGTTCTTGGGGGGAGGCATCGGCGAGACCCACGGGCTGGGAGAGATCGCGATGAAGGGCATCCCCGCGGCGGAGGAATCTCTGCTCCCGGTTCTTCGAGACCTCTGCATCGAAAAGTTCGGGGCGGTGCTTAAAGAAGAGTCTTGAGTTTGTTTAGTCATCTTTTTTTAGGGGAGGGGGGGGGCAGCGATAGAGAGAGGAAAGGATTTTTGGCGCGCAGAGACGATGCCGGAGTTGCATTCGCCAGGATTTGTGATAAAATATACTTGGGGGGTGACAACTGGGTGCCACAACGCCGGCTTTCTCTCCTTCCTCTTCACGGTGCCTGTTATTTCCTCGACTGTATCATGTCTTGCGGTGGGTTGCTTGGGTCTAATGCTGACACGGAAGCGAGGCGGCCGTTTCGCTCCCTCCTCCAGACGGAGTAGAAGCTCCTTGAGGTCCTCGAGGTCCTTGAGGTGCGGACGGAAAGCTCCTTGAGGTCCTTGAGGTGCGGACGGAAAGCTCCTTGAGGTCTTGAGGTGCGGACGGAAAGCTCCTTGAGGTCTTGAGGTGCGGACGGAAAGCACCAGCCCCCGTCGGAAGCTGCCCCCCACCCCCTGGAAAGTGTCTGCCACAGAGAGCCAAGTAGTCACGGCAGTAGAACAGGGAAGGCCAATTGCTCGACGCTCTTGCGCAGCGCGCACCAAGCCAGCTAGTGGAGTTGTTGGTCTTGGTCTCTTCTCCGTTTGGGAAGGAAGAAAATGGAGCGAGAGGACGCCGGTAAATATCCCGTTCCGTAGCTTGGGTGGGGTGCCCAGGCTGGGTCTACCAGGTAGGGTGACCGGAGGTAGGAAAATCGAACCTTGGTTTGACGAACGAGCCATCGCCAGCTCTGTTGTCATTCCCATTGTAACCTGCAATCAATCGATGTGTTCTACATACACCCTTGAGGGATTTCGCTTGGTCGCCTCTTGTCTTGATTCGTAGCGCATTTCTTCGCTTTCCTCGTCACCTGTTTTCAAATGCGTTGATGTACCAGAGGGGAAGAAGGGATGACGAATATTTACAACATCGGTGTACGTTCCTTCCTCGGGTTGTATCCTCCCCGCTGAGGCTCGCAGCGACACGAAAGAAAGTGGAGTTGGTCATGGGACGGTTTTTCCTGAATGGGGGAGATGGTAGCGTAACGAAGGCCTTAACACCGCCGGTGAATTTTTCCCCTCTCCTGGTTTGCGGCCGTGTTTCCGTCGTTGGATTGATTGCCCTCTCCTCGCTAAGCCGTTTTTCATGATCGTTAATAGAGCCACGACCGCAGCCGCCGGTGTGGTGCCTCTAAGCAGCTCTCTCTCTCTCTCTGGCAATTCGATGCGGTTTGGGACGAGCGGCGGGCGTACTACAGGGAGGGGGCATTGCTTGGGCACAGAGGACGCGCTGCAGTTGTACCACGTTGCGTTGAGTTTTTACTCTTTGCTGGCTCCTTCAGCCAAGGAAAGTTTCATGTCGAACAAGCGTTTGTTGCGCTTCGTAGAGTCTTTTTTGGAGTTGTGTTTGAGTGGCGCTTGCAATCGTAATGTTATTTTTCGGACTGTTTATTTTGGGAGAAAACGTGTCCGTATTATGACGGTGGCTGAGATGCGGGGAGCTCCGGCCCTCTCGAACCACCAAGCGACACATGCCCCAAGGCGAGCGAGAGGACAGTATTATTGCAGGCTACAGACGTCCGGTTAATGTCAAATGTGGCCAGCGGCGGAGAAACACGAAGAAAAGGTGACGAGTGTCGGCCGCAGCCGCGAAGCGAGTAGTAACAACAGGAGCATAGCAGTATAGAGCATAGAGAGTGCGTGCTGTTTCTTTTTCCTCGCGTGGAGTGACTCGGTGCTGCAGGGAGTGAGTGTTTGCGTTGTATTTTATTGAGCGAAACTCTCTCGGGCGGTGAAATGAAGGCAGGCCTTTGTTGAAACTATTGCCAACATGTTAGTTTTTGCCGACGGGCGGGGGGCGATGGAAGGTCTCCCCTCGCTTGTCTGCTGTCGACATCAAGTCGGCCGCGTTGTAGTTGGCTGCCCTCCAGCCAATATCTCGCGAACAGCAGCACGCCTCGTACAAAGAAGACAAGTGTCACAAATAATAGCGCGGTCTGATTTCTTCATCAGATCAATGAATGGGGAAAGAAAGTTCGCTATTTGTTACACCACAAACACACTGACCCGGATATTCCAGCCAGGCAGGCACCACCGCTAGCTCTTGCGCTTCTGTGAGCAGAGCAAGGTGTTGGTTGACCCCCGCCCCGCACCAATTGATGCAGCGCACCCTTCATGCGACTCGCCGAATACCTCGCGGTGCTTCGCGCTTGGTGATGTGTGAGAGCCTGGTCCGGTGAGCACCCGGCGTGCGCCGTCCCGGCTTTGTAGGGATGCGTCAATGGTCTAACGACTATTAATAGTACGACGTGCATAACCATGAATACACCCCCCCTTCCTTGTTGCGTCGTGTCGAGACTCGCACACGCACACGTCATCCCATCCACCATCAAAGGGGATTCGCACCGTGTACTGTTGCGTGGGACAAGGAAAAGGAAGGGGAATGCATGGTGGAACGGGCACACAGCATCCACCCGCCTTCTTCCCACAACCAAGATCGCCACCAAAAATTCGAGCAGAGATCTTGGAAAACCGTTCGACTGTGGGTATATCTCGAATGGGTAGTCTTTCTGTGTGTGTTTTTATTATTCCTTAATTAAAACCGACGATGATGCGAAAGTGTGTTGGGGCCTGTGAAGCACCCGATTGCTACAACACACCGAAGAAATCCTTTGTGCGTGTGGGTTGGACGCTCGTCCTCGCACCAGATGGTCAGGCCGAGGCTTGGGTGCGGTTTCTCGTGATTGAGCGGGTGCTTTTTACTTACATGGTAGCAGTCCATACGAGCATCGGGACTTTTCTTCGTTTCACCCATACACTGCCGAAAATAGCTGTCGACTTACACGTAAATCGCACAAAATCACACCACACGGCATAATCCCATTTCATTGCGTCAGTCAGTCTCTCCATCACAATCACAAAAAAGAGACAGATTCAACCCGATCGTCAGGCAACAAAGGCAAGGGCAACTAAAGCGTGAGTCCCCCCCACCTCCATCACAACCAGTAGTACCTCCATCACAACCAATAGTACCGCCGATTCAACCGTCAAACAATAAATATAAGAACAAACTTACAGTGTCATTCCCTGTCACTGTCACCTTCGTCAAAACCACGAACAATAGCACCCCGATTTCATCGTCAGACAACAAGGACACAAGGGCAACGATAGCGCCATTGCTGGGAGGCGAGCGAGCGAGACCTGTAGGCTCAACACCACACATCAAAAAGCACGCCCGACCACAACCACACAATAAAAAACAAGCACGTTACAGACAACAACCGGCCATTAAACTTCCAATCATTAATACCGAAAAATGACGCGGCCGCCGCTCTCGCTCTGGATAGTGACATCGCCACACGACCAGGGGTATCCCACTAATCATAACCAACCCCTCTCAACTAAATTGACCCAGGAAATTGCGGGCACCGTTTCTCTCGCATCCGCCAAAGTTCATGAACGCAGCAGAACCGCTTCTTGCTGAAGACACCGAGGCAAAGCAAGCGCCGCACCAAAAAGAAAAGTCTAAAGGCGGACGGGGGGTGGAGCGGACAGATCAGAGCCGGAAATCTCGGGGTGGGGTTCAAGGTAGACACTGCTGCGAAGAAAGAAGCAGCAGTAGTACAGCATACATACGGGAGACGACAAAGAAAGGCAGGTCGATAGCCTCTCTTAAGTCGTCACCCGTAGCCGTAAACAGACATCGGGGGTGTCCGCCGTGGAGGCGTGATCTTCGACCAGCAAACGAAGTAAACCAGCGACAACGCCCCACCCGCACACACATCACACATCACACGTACCAGGAGAAATCGGACGACAAGGCCGAGGGTCGGCAACAGGCAAGCACACCAAGCACACCAAGCACACCAAGCACACCAAGCAAGGGAATGAGGTACGGCGAGTACCAGTAGCGTGTTCTCAACATACCAACTACGGGAGGAGAAACAAGGCACTTTGCGACCCAAATTGCGCGAGCATGCAGGTTCAGCTGCTGTGCTTGCCCAGCACCAATCGTATCAACACATACCACCCGCATCACCATTCCTTGATAGGATGATAGGATGTGGCAACACACGAACGTGTCGTTTCTCCAACACCGAGCGCGCACCAGCAGACAATACACCTCATTAACACTTCGTTTTGATCGAGCGCCACAAAACTGCTGCCGCTCCTCAATACCCCCCCCCCCCCCCAGGCTTTGAAAATAAAACTCTGCTGACCCCGCCCCCTCCCCGTTATGACGACGCCACCGCCTCCTTTTCCAACCCGTCCGCACCGCCTCCGACCGGGACTTCACAAGAATCGTCCCCGCTTGTGCCCTCCGCCTTAGAGGGTTGTGCAACGCTACCGCTACCGCTAACGCTCGGCGTCATCTCCACCGTCTTTCCGGCGAACACCTGGTAACGGCGTCGGTGTCGGTTGTGGTGTTGGGGGTTGAGGGTCATTGTTGACGAGATCACCCGTCCTCTTTGGAGGCACACATGGAATAGAGTAGAGTACCAACTAAAGTACGCACATGACAAGACCATGCGACTAAAAATACATCGATCCATGTGTACTCCCTGGTTCGATCCAGGGAGGTGCTTCTGTGCACGACTCCGGTTCGTGCGGTACACTCGACCTCCCCGGGAGAAACGAGACCTACCCGCGCTTCCTTTTGTTTCCACCCCAACGGTCGGCGACACGAAGGCACGTACTCATACTACAAGAGTGAGAGTAAATTCTATCCTTCCCGCTTCTTAAAATGCGCGTCATCATCATCATAGTCTTACCTCCTCCATGAAGGACCGCAGCGCCTGAAGGTACTCCAACCCTCCCCTCTCCCACGTGTCGTTGTGCGTGCCATCCTTGACCGTGAAGATTCGCTTGCCCCCGCCCGAGCTCTCGGGAGAGGCGTTGTAGAGAGATCGCATGTGCCAGGGAGGGATGAGCTCGTCCTTTAGACCTGAAACAAAAGGTGCACATAAAACAAAAGGTGCACATAAAACAAAAGGTGCAAGCGAAAGGGTGGGTGCATGCAACGGTACGGGAGAAGATACGAAAGAGGTGGGTGAGCGCGAGGAGCATATCTCACCTTATGCGCCAACGCGCAACAAGAACAAAAATCGGCGCCTGAAAAAACCAGGGCCAGGCCAAGAAGCAGAACAGAATCGAAAAACAGACATCTTGAAGGAGACGATAGATACACACGCACACACCGAAAAGAAAAAGCACGCGTAGCAAAAAAAGAGGCGGTCTGCTTTGACCATTTCAATTCCATCGGCAGGGTCCAGCGCTGTGTCCAAACACTTCAGACGCCAGTGGGCAGGGGTAGCGGCAGTACGTGCCAGGCACGAGAGGGTCGGGCACGGGCCCATATCAATAAAACTCGTGCGAGAGAGCCAACAACAAACCCGCCTACTCAGCAGCTTGACGTCTTCGCACAAATATCCCGTGGATGCGTGAAAAAGCTGCACCTGCCGCTCAACGTCTTGTACGAGAAAAGAGACGCACCGCATCACCCAGCCGGGGACACAAACAAGGGGGTTGCGATAGTTCTCGCAGACCAGGCTTGCAGAGAACTCCCAAACACAACTCTATCCACACCGCGTCCCCCCAAGCCAACCACAAGCCCCGTCCAGGGGGCGCGAGGCGAGAGCGCTTGGGCGCTTACATACCAGATATGTACAGGACCGGCCTGGTGAGTCGCCTAGCCTTCTCCTCGTTGTCCCACCTAAGCCGAAGCACTAGCCACTTGATGCCCGACAGCATGGGCATCAGCTTGTCCACCATGTGAGAAACGCTAATGAACGTGTTCTCGACGATGACTGCTCGCACCTAAGTTGAAACGCCGGCACGCAATGGCACACGGGGGCGCAATTTTTTTTTCGCAAAACGAGCAAGAATAACGCATCAAGAGCGCAGCATCAATTGGCCTAGGAGGAGAGGAGCACACATGATGGCCTAGACGGAGCAGGGCACACGCCACCAGAAAGAGTAGCAGTCCAAATAGCCCGGCCTCTTCCAAACCCAATCGACTTTATGCCCAGACGCTGCTCTTAGCACGTCCGACGAAATCAGTTTGTCCGTCCCTTTTTTCGACCCAAGGGTTAACCTCCTCCCGGTACATCACATATACGCGCTAAAACAAACACAGCACGTGCGCCATGCCCCCGGCGACCGCACGATTGTAATCTAGTCGAACGGCGACATCGAAGAAGGAAAGAAACAGATGCCGATCCATCAATTCACGGACAAAACCAGTGCCCCTGCTTGTACCCGGTGTTGGCGAAAGCAGTGAAAATCGCTGGTGCGAAAGACGGAACAAAACATTCGACCGGAAACCCTCGGCCAACCGACCGCAACCCACGACACCATCAAGCAGCCCAACCCTCACCCCTCCCAAAAAACAAATTAATCCAACAAAAAAGAAGAGGGTTAATCTAACAAAACAGAAGCGTTTTGGTCTAACAAAAAAAAAGCTTTTTTTTTATTTACAAAAAAAGAAGCGTTCTAACCGAACAAAACAAAAAAAAGGCGTTTTTCTTGTGTTCTCACCAGGTCAGGATATCGGTCCGCGCCGGCGAGGGCCACAGCTCCGCCAAGGGAACGGCCGAACAAGATAAGCTTGTCCGGGTGCACCCCCGACTTGGGGCTCTCTCTCAAGGCCCGAAGGCTGGCCTCGACGTCCAGCACAAGCCCTTCCTCCGTCGGCGTGCCTTCGCTCTTCCCGTAGCTGTCGCCATGTCATTTCACGACACAAGCCAGTGTTGGGTGTTTTATTGGGGGGGGGGTCATTCTCATGTACTGCATGCCTTAGCGGTTAGACCATTGACCACGCGTCCTCGAGAGGGTGGAGCATTGTTCCCACGGGACCGATTGCCGATGGCCAACTGTCACTTTGCCAAATGTGGCTCAGGGGGGTTTGTTGCCCTTGTCCGTAGCATATATATGGTCTGGGCGCGTCCTTGCAGTCGACACAGTCGACACAGTCTGCGCAACACAGCACCGTTCCGGCTTATGGTGTTGTAATGTGCACAAACCAACCGCTGTTGCAATAAATCGCGCGTCCTCTCACGTTGCTATTTTTTTTCCGGCGAGGAGTGACGGTAGGCAGCAGCACCGGGCGGGGCGGGACATAACCACGCCACGGAGCGCGACTTTTTCGAACTCATTTCCTCGAGAGACAAGCGTCGCCCACTGCGGCACTGCTGCACATCGCGGATGCTCGCCGTCCACTCGACTATTTAGCGATATTCTGGAGACAAGAGTCCACAAATAAAGCCTCCCGGGGGGACTACCCTCGGTAATTAACGCCTCAGCAACCGTGTCGTTGTTCATCACGGATGGTGTTTACCTCCTACCATTTACGAAGCGGAAGCACGGGGATAGGGGATGAACTCACCCTCGGTAGTCGACCATGAGCACGTTGCACCCGATGGCGAGCTGCATCTGGCGCGCGTTGACGAGCCTGAACCCGATGTTACCGGCGTTCCCGTGAAAATAAACTAGCGTCGGCACCTGGTTGCCGGGAAAAAGGGGGACAATATGGAGGAAGGGGAGGGTCTCGACGACGTCACCACAGAGAAGAGAGGGGGTGGGGGGGGGGGGGGTACTCATGGTCGTGCATGCCGTAGTCGTTAGGCCATTGACCTCGCATCCCTACACAGCCGGGACGGGGTGGAGGGCGGGGGCATATTTCCTTTACGTAGTAATACCATCAATTGTCACTTCTTCCGGGTTGGCAGAATAGTCTAGAGCACTGACCGGCTGATTGGCCGATTGCTCCGAGGATACAAGGCTGCCGGGTCGCCAAATACATATCTGCGTCACCCGTCCTACGTGCTCGAGTGAGAAGCAAGACTGGTACGCGAGGACGATAGAAATGCCATCAATCCAATACTCCAAGCCCATTCCGCGTAGGAAACACCATCGTTTTCCGTGTCTTCTCTCTAGAGGGAATCCTACCTCATGCCTACGCACAAGACTCCTCTACAACGTATCGCCTACAATAAGACTTCCACGTACAGCAAAAGGAAAAAAGGTTCAAGATGTTCACATGCATGGGCTTGGAACTGGCAAAGATATCATGTATTTAGATGACACCACTCGTCGTGTTGACGTACAGAGTATCCTATCAAAAATTGCAAGGACAAAAATTGCAAGGGGCCCTTCCCCGAGACCATGGTGGACCAGACATTGAGTTGTTGCTTTTTTAAAGGTCATGGTTGTTGCTGCTGCAAGGTCATGTTTGTATAATGTATGATACTGAAAGAAAAAAGTTCGACCCCTACCGCCGCAATACGCTCACTGCCCCCTGAAGACAGAGAGGTGCGTCCCCACAGCGGTGACAAGCTAAGCTTAAGCTTTAAGCTAACCTTTACCCGAACAAAGAACAGTGCATATCTATATCCACGCACGTACGTACGCTTGAAGCAACACTTCGAAATAAACTACACAGAGAGAAAACAACAACAGAGGCAAGAAGGGTGCGGACCTTAGATGCCTCGGGACTCTTGAGCAGCCAGCCGTGGATCTTGATGCCATCCAAGGTTGGCATGTACATATCCTCGTACGATATCCCTTGCTCTAGCGGGTTGCGATACCCTGCGAAAGAATGAAAGGGTGATGACAAAAAAACAGGAGCCAAAACGGGAGCCAAAACAGGGGCGCAGGTTTGAAGTGCTGCGCTGTGTGTGTGTGTGTGTGTGTTGTTCAAGATTGTATCACGCCAGCGACATGTATCCATCCATGCCTGCTGCAACACGGCGCAGAGGCTAGGCCCGACTCCCGGCAGTCCCGTACGCTCAGTCGACGGCGCGACACAAATGGCGTACCTCCTATATCCGAGGAGCGCATAGAACAACACGACCAAGCCTATATCCGAGGAGCGCATAAAACGACACGACACCACGGTGTTCTAACCGCTCCTCGGAGGTAGGCTTGCTCTCGAAGGCGTCGCCGTCGTCGTGAGACGAGTGATAGTCCGGCCCTTCGTCGGAAATGAGGACCTCCTCGCAGTACCTTGGTTTCTTCAACCGACGAGGCCGTTGCTACAGGGTGTGTTTGGTTTTCGTGCTGGGTATTTTTTACTTCAATATATTATATTTGGGGCGTAGTTGTATGGCATGAAATTTGCCTCCCAAGAGCTGATGTGGTCGCCTGGGGCACGCTACATTTTCCTCGCCCAAACGCAGAACCACTGGGCATCAACAGCTCAAGGGCGGAGGGTGCGAAAACCTCTGGACCCTCCAACGGTGTGAACGGAAATACTGTAGGTTTGACCCCTCTTTTTGGGCTCAGCCAACGTCCGACAAGAAACAACAAGCTGAATCCAATGGCGCGAATACTGCCGTTCTCCTTCTCCCCCTTCCATGTCGAGAAAGCAACACACATGTGCAGCATGGTGATCGGGGGGGGGGTCAAGTAGATGGGATACTTCGCGAGAAAATCGCTAGAGCACCGCACCTGGTGCATTCATTGCGTGGTAAGAACAGCGGTGTTGTAACATGAAAGAGAACACAAGAGCATTCCTCGCAGGGTGCCCAGGTACTGTAGCACGAAATCGTATGCATGCATATGCATGTACAGCAGTAAATAGCGTGCTGCATTCGCCCACTACATACAGCAGTATTCAGCAGTCTACGCATCCAACGGCGGAACCCTTGGTTTACTTGTCACCTTGGCAAAGTTCCGATATTTTTCAAAACTCTCTCTCGCTCTCCTTTATGTTTCTTCCTCTCTCTCTCTCTCGATCGCCGTGATCATGGCAGGAACAAGTGAACAAGTGGAGAGACACACACCTCTCGGGTTGTCATCAGGATCTCTGATGGGCACGGACGGGACGTAAAGAAGCCTATCTTGGTACACGAACAGAAGCGCGCCCAGCGTCACACCCAGGGCACCCACCCCACCGGCGCACCACATAAGCCCCGACAACCAGCCCATTGCAAGTGCGCTGTCAACTCCTTAATTTCAGCCTCCCAGCAGACCCTGTGACCAGCTGCTAGCGCTGCGATTGTTGCATTTGGCACATTGGCACAGCCTGCTACTGGCACACACAGCAGCCCAGCAGCCAGCTTCTTCTTGCGAGGGGATACACAGATTGGACAGGGAGGGGGGGAACGACAAAAAAACATGACTACATATGCTACAGCGACGGCAAAAGGATGCAACCTTTGTCGAACACATTGTCTGCTGCCAATCACCCTATCACTGCCATGATGCACCCTGCGCCTGTGTTCATGGCGGTCCTCGCGGCCACCCGCTTCTCGGGGTCCATCTGCTTCACAATGGTGACGCCCCGTTCCTCTTCGTCACGTCATGTTCGTCATATGGCTTCCTCAGCGACGACTGAAAGGTTGGCCGCCACCTCACCACCTTCATCATCATCGTACTCGACAACGCACACCGACAGCAGCATGTTCGCGCCGATGGAAGCACGAGCGGTGCCGTCACTCGACCGGTGGCAATCGCGACTCGGAGCATCGGGGGAGACGTTGGGAGAAGAGGGCATCGCGAACCCTTCTGAGGAATCAGAAGCGACCAGCAGCGGCGGCGCAACTAACAGCGAGCCAGGCGGCGGCGGAAGCGGGGTCGACTTGTCGAAGGGGATAGCGTTCGAGGCTCCGAAGCCAAAGGCGTTGGAACCGGAGAAGGCCGAGGAGGAGTCTGATTCGAAAAAGGTAGGTCTGGGGTCTTTGGATAGCGGCGTCGGCGGCGGGTCGCTCGCCGCCGCTGCCGCCCTCTGCGGAATGATGACAGTCCCGCGTTCCTGACTTGTCCATGGTGATGGCTCTAGCATTTTTGTGACCACGGGCCGAGTCTTTGCTAGATTTTGGGATTTAGCAACTGACACGAGTTTAATGTGAAGAAAACAACAACAACAATGGTGCGGCAGGGATGATGTGCCGTATGCGTCGATTGCCTGGCATGGTGGTGGTGCCGGGGGCTCGACGCCGCGATCGGCAGGCTCGAGGCTGTCGTCAAGTGGCGTCTCGAGGCAAGCCAATCGCGTTTCTTCTTGCGCACGAAGAGAGAGATAAAGATGTGCCCGCTGCGGTCTGTTTCATGTCTCCATTTTACTCGCCCACTGCTGTTGATCCCTGCTGTTCCTGACTGGACAGACACTTCGATCTCTGCTCCTGACTCGACAGGCAGTAGTATTACCATGATCTTCTCTCGAAAGCTAGAAATGTGGGATGATTGGCCTCCTGGCGGTATATTCGTTCCTACCAAAGCGGCAAACACGATATATTCGTTCCTACCATCTGGAACAGTTTGTGCCGAGAGCGGTTGTTAGAACACCAGGTCTATTTTCGGTCTGTTACAATAGTGACTCTTTAGGTCTAACCGGTGGTGAAGGCTAGGAAACACCGTGGCCGACCTAACCACCCCTAACCCTCACCCACGGCCAACGCACGGCCAACGCACGGCCTAGCGGCCGCGAACTGGGCGAGAACGCGGCGCAGCCGCGTTCTCGGAATGCGGAACGGTGAGAGGGCGGTGGAGAGGGTCAAGGCTAGGAACCAACGTCTGGCCAATCAGACGGCGTGAAACAGCTTAGATAGGAAGAGTCTCTAACAGAGTGTAAAATATGCTGCTAGAACACACACATACGCATGCTTCTCTTTGTTGTACCTGTACAAATATATAGTTGCCGTGGACCAATTACCGAAGATGAAATGCGGTTGGCAACCTCGATTAAATACTGCACACCGCGCTCATAGTTTCTGGTATCCAAGAACAACTTGCGGTTTCCTCATGGAATATCTTTGGAAACTGGGCCAGACGTTGTCCAAGAATCTTGGTCGGTTTGATCCAAATATCCGGTGTCGCAAGGCACGGGTGGCGGCGAACCCTTCGCAAAGCAAATAATTGAAGGTTCGACATTCGACGCACAACCGCCGTAAGCAGCACCCGGACCGTGTATGCACCCTGTGGAGCTGAGCTCGTCGGTTCGACATTCAACATCGAACTGCGGTCGCCGTCATGCGTTCATGCAGCGTGTCAGTCAGTGGAGACGGGCGTCCGACCGCACAGCCTAACGAGTACCACACGCGGCAGTTTTCTAAACGCATCGCAAAATCCTCTTCAAGAAATCCCTGCAACAGCTGCTGTCGCTTGAAGCGAAGCAGCTCTTTCCCCCCCTTGGCATGCGTTGAATCGTCTTCGTTCAGCAGCCCCGCCTCCTCCTCCTCCTCCTCCTCCCTCATTGTTTGCTGTGCCTGCTGTCCGCTGTTCGTTTGTTTTCGTCCGCGCCTTCGTGCTTGAGCGCAGGTTCGCGTGATCATCTACACGGTGCTATCCCTCGTACCGTTCGTGCTGCTTCTGCCCTTCTTGGGGGGCAGGGAGCTCATGCCCTTAGATCCTAGCCAGATGTAGCATGGTGCAAGTGCCCCCCCCCGCCCCCCCTGGGTGCCGACATGATACAACGGCCTAGCTGTAATTGTTGATAGATTTGAGGCAGATTGTTCGGGTTTGATCGTGGTGGTGATGGGAAGTCTGGTCGTAAACAGCTTTTGGTGTGTTTTGCTGTGTGAGGGGGGAGATTTTATGGCTCTGGTAGAGCATGTAGTCAACGGGTATTTGATTGCCAATTGCTTGGGTTTGCAAAGAAAGATAGAAAATAACTACGCATGCCGCGAATTGTGACGCTGCTGTTATTTTTATGGGATTGAGAAGCACCCTCTACCGCCATGTCCACCACCGGGCCTTTCCCGACACGTGTGCGTCGTGGATTGCTGAAAAAAAGTGAATCCTCTATCTGCAGCCAGAGTTTTTATTTTTTGAGACAATTTGTTCATGTGTAAAAGTCAAAAGTCGTTTTTGCTGCCAGGTTAAAGAGGTGCGGATGGAACGGTAAGGGTCTTCTGGTTGAGGAACAACACAGCAAGTAGCGACGGCAGGTGCAGCATACAAGCGTGACCCGGCTTGCAGTCTTGTGTGGCAGCGCTTTTCGGAACAGCCTCGCCATGGATGCAGTGAAAGGCGGCTGGGTAGGCCTGCGCGCGCGAAGGCGTTGAAACATGGCGCGGGGTCGTGGTTTTTGCCGATTTTTTCCGCATGCAGATGTTGACCAAATGTTTTGCGGGGCCATGCGCAATAACCGAGAACATTTATTGTTGTTCTTCAGGGCGAGAGAGAGCCGTCAAGTAGACAAGTGTCGGAAAACTGGTCGAGGCTTGAGCAAAAACATAAAAAAAAATCTTGTTCTCACGGCACGGGGAGAGAGCGTCAAAACAGATTCCGGTTGGCGACCAGCACCAGCAACTAGACAACATGTGCAACGTATCTCCCTAGGTGAAAGCGCTCATGACCTCGTCTGAGCCCGTCGCGGAGCTCCGGCTGCAGCCGCGGAAACGCTGTGTACGGTATGTGGGTGCTGCTGCTATCGCTCGTCCCTCCATTGCTTTCATAATGCGAACCATTTTTGGTGCGTAGTGAATGACTCCCAAAGCATGTGAGCTCTTTATATTGGAGTCCTCATCAGCTTGCTTACTGCGCTGGCTTCCGGTTGGGCAGAACGGGGCGCACGATTGCCACCAACAAATAAGCCACACGACTACTCCCGCGCCAACTTCCCGGCAGCGAAAAGGATCTCACACCCTCCTTCGCCCACTCTGTTGTCTGGGTACCAACAAGTCATCCCCCAAGATTGTCTCGTGAAAGTCCTTCCATTTTTCGCCTCTCTCTCGTAAGGAAAGGGCAAAATTTCTGGTGGTTTAACTCGTTGCTCTTTTATCGTTGGAGGGGGGCGGCGGGCAAGCTGGAGCCCGGGAAAAACGCCCACCCGCCACCTAGAAAATAGAACGAAACAAAAAAGAGGACACCGTAAAAATGTATATACTACAATGTGGATGAAAAGACAAAAAAGCGGCGACTCGACTCAATTCTTGCCGAGCAGCACAGCTGCTTCAACAGCAACCTCTTCGCATGCAAACAGACAAAACAAACGCTACATCATGTGCGAGCATCGCAGGAAAACACGAACGCACAGCAGCACCCCACGCGGCAACCCGGTCCTGGAAGTCTCTTGCCACCAAACGGCAAGACAGAACCCAAATGCAAAGATCTCGAACACTTGTGTGTGGAATCTCACCACCCTCCTCCGAACAGACCCGCATGTCTCGACGACGAAAAGAGGAGCAACAGATTATAAATCCCGAAAAGAAATCATACTTATATATTAACAAAGGAACACAATGGGCACCAGCGGGCTTTGTGTGACCAATCGACCTTGCCCTCTGGTCACACCCACACCTTCACTACGCACCCCCCACACGCACACACAAGAGAGAGGAAAACTGAAAACGTGACTACTGCTGTTCTTTCTGTCGGGTGTATGCATAGACTTGGGCTACATGTCGCGTGTGGATTGGAGGGACCTGCAGCAGCAACTGCTGCTTTCAAAATGAATCTACCGAGTAGTTCCTCGCGCAAACGTGCCCCTCCCTGCCTCTCTGATGCGCAGCTGGAACCATCAGAGTCCAGCGGACATCACACATATGCACAGTGCCCACCCGGATAGATACGCATATCTCGGGGGGCGAGGTACAGGAACGAATGGATACGAAAGATCTCACCAGCGATATCGACCCACCACTTGCTCACTAGCTTCCACCCCGCCCCCCCCCGCGCGGGCGCGCTCCGATCCGGCGACCCCCCAGGGTTTGCAGCCAACAACACCCGATGCTTGACACCGTGCAAACCGTTCGTTGCATAAACCAACGGACGTTCAACATTAGTGCAATCGAAGCACTCGTGTTGGTGAACAAACGTAAACCGGAGTGTCATAAATGGCTCGTCCCTGGGTACATTTTCTCACGCACTTCTCTCCATCTCTCACGCATGCAACAAGAATCGTGGAAAAGAAAAAGAAAAAGAGAACCAAACGACAGGGCACAAAACTCATTGAAGTCGGGACTTGAGCTCACACCTCTCTTGTTCTAGGACGACAAGTGTAAGTGTGCCACTATACGGTGTACGCATGCCTGATGGCGACCATGTCTTCTCTCTCACCCATGGCCACGCCCGCCTCTCCCGAGGAACACCTGATTAAAGTATACCCTACGCACTGACTGTATGCCTCCCTCCGCCCCCCGCCCTAAAAATATCGCCACAAGACTTCCAACTCAACCCAAAACCCCCCACACAAGCAGGTAGTAGTGCCTGCCTCTATCCGCCCTCTAAATCGCCGCTGCTGCCGCCAAACCGCCCGAAAAGACGAGGGCAAACAGAAGCGATCGACGTCGACCCTCTCCCTCCCCTCCTTCGACATGATTTCTTTCACCACCACGATAAACTTAAAAGAAGGAAGGACGTCTACTCCCACTCTATCCCCCAGGGCGGACAAGAAACTGCCAGGACAAGAGAGAGGGTGAGTGAGAGCCACTAGCCCTCAGCCAACAGGAACGCGACCAAAAACGCGGCGTAACACCGGGAACACGTATTGTAGCGTTGGCATCTATCTTTGTTCTGCACCATGATCCGTTGGAACGGCGGTGGGAGTCGACCCAAAAATATTGGCACGTCCAGGAGCCTTCCTCTGACGGAAAGTCAAGTCAGCCTCAACAGTTTCCAAACCTCACTCGTTCACTCACTCACACGCTCCGCGCGTTGTTAAGCAGTTGGGATACTACCACCAGAAGTCACCCCGTACCCCCCATAAGGGCATGCTTCGTCTCTTCCCCCCCCCTCCCCCCGGTTGCCGTCCCAGCTGCAAGCGTGCACACAATGCCCGGCCCCCTCCCGCCCCCCCCCTGGTGCCTCAGCGAGTCTCTTTTCTGACCCACGATTGGCTGCCGAACGCCGACGAGCCCGCCCCCGCGGCCAACGTCTCCGCCACCATTGCCCGGAAGCCGTTGACGATGTAGTGCATCTCGTCTTCCGACTCGCACGAGAAATCAAGCTGGGTCGATGGATGGATGGCGGGCGGGCGGGGGGGGGAAGAGGGTAAGAGTTTTTGAACAACGCGCACGCGCCACGCACGTGCTCAAGAACGTTCAAGTCTGAGAGAGCTTGTGTGCTTTCTTCACGTTTGCGCGAACGTTACATAATCAATACCAGCTACTTTCCAAAGTTCTCCTGTTCTCTTACGCAAGGAAAAAAAGAAATAATAGTGCCACGCCCCTGTTGGGAGTTGAGCCCTCGGACGTGTCCTTGGTTGCAAGCTTGACAGTCGTCACTCGGATTGCTAATCAGCACGGCTCAAGGAGACTCGACCTGAAGGGGATCCGTGACGGGCGAATTATGAGCAAGAGACAATACATGGCGCCAGGGCAGGCTGCACCGTGGGAAAGTGCAGCCAACGCACGTGGTCTTGGCCGGGGGGAGCTCCCACTTCGTTCGATGCAAACTTAAAGTTTCAACGATACAGTCGCAATCAGATCAAGATCAAGATCAACACCAAGAGCTCTGCTCCTAACGCACAGTAAGTACACACGAGACTCGAGCGGCCTGAGAGGTGAGCAAGACTCGTTCCTGTCCCTGTTGGAAGGACCTTCCCAACCGTTTCACAGAAAAACGAGCCAAGAAAGAAAAAGAAACACAATGGCCAGACTTAACCTTCCCCGCCATGCAACAACGCCTCAAGAGAGTCGCCCGGAGAGAGACAAGAAAAAACACCTGAGGCAGGCCCATTCTTTGCATCAACGGTCCACTCATGGATGCAACCCCCACGCCCGAACAAAGCGACCAAGCGTCAGTGGAATAGGTATTTCACTACCGTGCATTCCTTACGCGACAAGATAACGCTCATGTGCAACTTGTCTTGTCGTCTGTCCCTACAATTTCCATCCCTTTCCCTGTGGTCTTTCTTGTCTCCACATCACCCCTTCCCTGTTCCATTTCCCTGGGGTATTTCTTGTTTCTGTACCACTCCCTTTCCATTTCCCTGTGGCCCCTCTTGTCTCCACACTATCCCTATTCCCGTGGTCTTGTCTCTACGCCACTCCGTTTCCATTTCCCTTTGTTCTTTGTTATCTCTACATGATCCATTTTCCAGTGGTCTTTCTTGTCTCCACGTTATCCCCGCGGTCTCGTCTCTACACGACTCCTAATCCATCCATTTTCCTGAGGCCTGGCTCACCGTCCTGGAGAGGTATACGAGGCTGAAGCCCTTTCGGAGGTCCTCCTCCGTCGGGCATCCCTGGCGCAGCGGATTCGACCCGGTCTTGTCCTCGTGCTCTGGGTCCTTGTCTGTGCCCATGCGCACCTTCCAACCAAAAACGAAGGAGAGCATACATGATACACTTTGTCGGAACAAGCACACGGCTTACATATATAGGTGGGGGGACATCGCTCGATTCCAACTTAGGCTGCGATGTTGGAACGATCAACAACAGGCCAACGAAAGAGAGGCGGGCTGCATACTCGCGTGTACGTATGCACACAACGTGGGCACCGTAGGTAACGCATGATACCACGCCCCCTGGGCCGATTTTCAAGCTCGACTACTGCACGATGAAGAGGATGCATGAACGAAACGACATATCGGAAGCTCTCGACGAGACGGCTTCAACGCCGCCGTTTTCGGCGCTGCCAGTCACTGTGTTGAGGAGAAATCAAGCTTTGAAAACAGCTGCAGGGGGTGTGGTATTTTGTGTCACCTACGGAATGTAGCGTCGGGGACTCGGTTGGTGTGGTGTCCTTGCGCATGCTTTTAATGCATTGGATTTGGAAAGGGGGAGCAACCGGGTCGCAAAGAAGCGAGAATATTGTTTCATGCCAAGAAATGTAAGCAGCAGCAACAACAACAACACAGGTAAACATCAAAACAAGATGAAATATAAATAAAACCAACACGACAGCAGTTGCAGTAGAAGGACAAGAACCCGCTTGAGCTAGAGCTCGAGATTCACACCTGTGCCAACGATAACAAGGAAAACTCCTGAGTGCCGAGCGACAGTTTGGAGAGCGACCCCTTCTTGCCCTTCGCCATGCGGAAGTGGACTCCATTATCCACGGTGTAAATGACACGATTGCTGCAAACAGAAAACAGCG